CGATTGTGTGACGGAATGTGTAACTCTTACTTCTTCCCAAACATTCCAGTGTTAAACAAAACTCAGTTTTACACTAACATTAAAAGTAAAAGTCACAGTTTCTACTACACATGTAATGTAAAACTAATTTCATCAAGATAACGTCGCTGGTCAATTTTCCAACTTTTTACTTTACAAAAAAAAAGGAACAAACCGCAGAAGTAATTTGACCAAGATATCATTAATCTACTTTATAATGATAATGATATGTTACATAAATATCTGCTTATACTTACCATAAATCCGGGTACTCTCAGTATAACCTACTTGTTACTTAGACTTAAAAAAAGTAGAGAAATAGTAGAGTAAATAAAGCTTCAAATATCGAACACCGCGCGGAGTGTGACGTAAGATCACATAACCGTTATGTCACGAGCGATGGATGGAGGCCGCGTATAAAAAAGCGATGCGAGTTGCTCTGCGAATTTGGTGTCAAGAGCTGCAAAAAGCCATTCGATTCATTTCTTTTATTTTCATTAATTACGACTTTAACTCTAAGTCGATGCCTACTTCTTCTTGTATCACGATTTGTAAACGTAAATTACCTATTCAAATGGCTTTTAGCATTGATTGACACATAAACAAATAGTTGACTCTAAAAGCTATTCGTTCTCTGTACATACCCAGTACCCACGTACTGTCCTAATTTTTTCCAAGTGAACATTAGTAACTTCTAATAAAGTTAATTAACACTCAGTAGAATAGTCCCAAGTTATGTAAAACATGTTCTCACGATAAATTTCGATTATATTTATTGCAAGCAAAGAAATTAATCGCTTTAGCCGCTACTTTGGCATTACCCACAGTTTTTGTCCACCTGCACGCTTACAGACGGCTTGCCGCCAAAAAACGTAATTTGTTACGTAACGAGGTGCGTTCGGAAACAGTGAAAGTGTTCCGACCACATTCCTCACAGATATTACATGTTCAGAAACGAAAAACGAATCCAGCCTATGAATAGTTGATGATTGATTATGTTTATCATTCCAACCTTCCACCAACACGCCATGTGCCACTCGACTCGGCCTTTTTTCTCACAGAGATATCTCCAGGGTCAAAGTAACATAGATCGATTGATGGAGATGACGAAATCTCTGTACATAAAATTCTATCTCTAATGATTGTCATTGCATTAGATTTGGAAACATTTCGTATGCGGGGTGCACCTACGTCAAAAGCTGATCTCCAGTAGTCACTACTACGAACTCACAGATAAGTAGGTAACTGATATATCTAGTACTTATCTACAGCAATAATTATAAATATCAATAATACCTAGTGAGTAGATATCATTGCTTTGAATGAAAGATCAACTTTGAATTGCCAAAATTCAGCTCAGAAAGTACCTTAAATGGTGCAGCAAAAACAATAAATTCTTGCAAATCTTAAACACCAACACTAACTGTGAAGCAATATTAGTACATTTTTAATTTTTGCAATGTTTTGGAAATCAGTAATTAAATCCAACGCAACGTGATCCAACAATAGCACACATTAGTATCTCATTAGTAATTCATAATTGCGTAGTGTAGGTAGGTACAGTTAGAAGCAATTGGCAATATGTTTCGTCAGTAGTAGGTATGTGTTGGGAATTCTGTTAGTAACGCGAGCAATTCCCATGATCTCTGAGCTAGGTGTAGAGTTACCGCGTGTAACTTATTGTAACCCTGTTGAAAGTGTGTAGGTACTTTGAGAAAATGTTAAGTAATGGTAGTTCGCATATCTATTCATTCATAAGATAGCACCTGAATATTCACCGATTAGTTGACTACAGTCAACTTCTCTGATCTTGGTTTGTTAGTTTGTTTTAGTAAACGTATCGTATCACACGCATGATACAGAGAAAATTGTAGTGTTAGAAAATCATAAAGTCAAAGTCAAAGCATTAAACTGTCAAATACCAAGCGGTCACCGGTGACCGCAACCTATTGTTCTATAATTGTGTCTACAAAACCGGTACTCGACGAGTTAATTTCAAATAGACCATAATTTGGTACATTTGAAACGTCAAAAAATACAAAATAATAATAATCTGTCAGTCTATCCGTCAGTGGAGATAGGTGCTCATTCCAAAATGTAGATTCGAATGGAGAAGAACGAGCAAGAAACTCCATTCAATTAAAAAAAAGCCTGTTTTCCAATGTCTCCGATACGTAGGTATTCCAATATTGTACGTACGTATATGTGAGAACAATACAAAGACACGCTTGTCGCATTATACAAATTACAAAACTTACTATAATAAAAAATAAACTTCTAGATATTATCGTAGCTGCACAATTTGGATCGTAAGTTACTAAAAGTAAATGGGTATATGGGCAATTGCCATTTGTTTTGGAAATGGGAATGAGAAACAGCATAAACTACAACAACTTCCAATTGCATAACTACTTTTTACTTGTGCAACATATGTCGTTGAAACTTACGACCACCCAAGCACCAAGCGCATATTAAAATTAAAGAGGGAAAACGAAAAGTTAAAAAGAAACTTGGAACAAACAAGAGCCAATGAGGAGTTTCTCGGCGAAGTCATAAAGCATGGCGGCGTGAAAGCGTGCAGCGCCTGCGCACACCATGACTCACTCAGGGGTAAACCGCACTTTGTCTCAAAATCATTTAAGTACCGGTAACAGTCTGTGCCAAGGGACACTTAATGAGGTACTAAACACTATTGTTTGGAGTTACTGAGCTGTGGGCTACAGAGTACAAACGTAACGAACATGTCTACACATGTTCGTTACGTTTGTACTTAAGTTACTTAAGTTCCATACTACTATGGAACTTAAGTTTTTGCGTTTTAGGACTGATGTTATAATTATAATGAATGTTTTATCATAATCATCACAGAACTATGATGACGCGTAGGCCAAACCCGCTGCTTTTTTCCGTCATATTTAGTTTGGTTCTCTGCGTCCCTCATTCATCCTAATTTTAACACTAGGTTTCGCTATGATTTGGTTTTTCTGTTACTAATCCTTTGAAACTTGTAAACAGTCATAATCTCAAAGGCACTACGAACAGGGTCTCTTCTGTACCACCACTAATGTAAAACTTGTTTCTGTATACTAACAATACACTTGTATCGTTCCAGCATCTCCCGAGGCGACGGCACCAGCGCGGCCGTAGTGGCTCACCAGCTCGGTGACGTCATGCAGGCGAGCAGAGACCACGACTGCCATCGCTTCCGATGTGACATCCACTAGGAGCCTCAAATCCTCTGTTGGAACTACGAAGCCCTACCTGCAACCATAATCCAAGCTTAAAGTGAACTATAGGTTCCTGATGATGACCAGTTTATAAACATTGATTTGTCTAGTGTGTGATTTGTGACATAACATCTATTTCGAGAGCCACATGGATCAATCGCCTCTCTTGAATCGATTCTCAAATTGATCGAGTTATATTTTTGGACATTTGTGAAAAAGACAACTATTACAAACCGTCAAGTGCATAATGTATTGCACAGAGCTGCAAATTTTATTGCAAATTATGAGAAAAGTTTTGATATTCGCGTGCTATTGGTGTAGTTACGCATGAAAGTAATTGACCTAGACCTGTAGGTATGTTTACTAAGGTCTAAAAATTTATAGGACGATATATTTATTGTCTAATAAAAACATTGAAGATATTTGCAGTTTGTGAGTAATACAGAAGGCGGTACAATGATTGTGAAGCAATATGAACCGTGTACAGATTACACAAGGTTCAATGTCCGCACTATACGTGATAGGCTTACATTAAGATTTTCGTGTATCATATTTTCTAATAGTTGTCATATTTAAATATAAGATGAACTTTAAAATTGGTACATAAGTCTTCAAGCTGACACGTAGCGTGTCGCAGTGCAGTGATTGAGAAAATATTTATTTATAATTTATTTTTTAGTTATAATTAGTCTTAAGTAACATGTTGATTAGGGTCTACGGGTGAGTGTCACTGTTTATTTGTATTGGAAACTATGTGCGACGCCCCACGAGTCGCGCATTTGTACATAAATAAACCACGTGACGTTTATTGTAAATAGAGCTCACTGTACCGACGCGACTGGTGATCGCATGCCCGATTATACAATCGCTCGGTGAGTGGCAAGCTTTACGAATGACTATACGCCATCAGCCATATAACGAGTCGTTCCTACATCTCTGTACTAACAACTACATGTAACTGTTTGCATACATCCGTCACCTGGCGACTTCACACAACCAACGTATTTATTGTTACCAAATAATTCATTTTGTCAAACGGCAATTGTCTCGTAAATTATTATTTATTTTAGATAAATTATTTAAAACTTATTTAATCGATTTTAAATTATTATAATCGACGCTGAAGATTGTATTGCACTACACTTTTGAGCAATTTATTTTAATGTTTGTTTTGCACCAGTTTTGTAGAGAGTTCAAAGTACTTGTCCAGCCCATGGTCAATATTAATTATTTTCACCGTCGATATTATGTTATGTTATTCTCTAAACACGCATTACATTTAAAATAACTTTATTAAGATTTTATTTATTAGATGGCGCTGTAAGTTGTACATAATGCTTTTACAAACAATATAAATTATTTATTTATTTTTCTACGAATAAAATAAAAAAACTTGAAATTAATGAGTGTATATTGTTTTTATTTCAATTTCTATATGATTTATTAAAACAAATACTTAATTATGATACCAATTAACGAGTCTTGCTTTTATTGCGTCATAGCCGATTGGAGTTCCCACGACTAGGGTCAAGCAAGCGTTATAGAGCGAGTCTTCTTTCATATATCCTAATAGACATTTTAAAATATGAAAAAATATTGCCTTCAGACACGAGTCTACTAACAAGCTAATAAAAACTAGTTATCGAGTTAAATGTCTTACCTTACCCTTCGGAAAATAAATGTTGTCACAATAAGCAATGCGTGATTGGTATCACATTAAGTCACATAATTTATAATAATAAAAAACTTATATTTTGAATGATGGTCACCCAAAAGAAATAATTAAATATACAAATATATGATTGAACAACAATAATGTAAGGACGTGCGTTCTTCTCTTCTGTTTGCTATCATGTCCAGTTCTCTCAATTATGTCCTGCAAATGAAACTATATAAGTTTATATAATAACATAACATCATACCTTTTATCCTCGAAGGGGTAGGCAGAGGTGCACATTACGGCACTTAACGAAACTGTACTGATGTAACACCCACTCTTCACTATTTATGTTATGAGTCCCATGTAATAGGGGGTGAGCCTATTGCCATATACCGGACACAATTCTAGACTCCGTGCTACTACTGAAGAATTTAAAAAAACCAGTAATACTTTGCCCAACCCGGGAATCGAACCTCTTGCCCGGCAATCGCACTTGCGACCACTCGACCGTTTCTACCTAGAAAATTAATTACTTCTATGTTTAAGACTACACGACATTCCGCACATCCTAAATCGCGCAATGCTGCTCATAAATCTGAGCCCCTATCGTGGTTTGAAACGAGTCGAGGTAGCTCGCCAAAAAATTACGTCAATAAACTGCATCTCAATTTAATATATCTCACGCAAGTTAAAATATAAAAAATATATTGTAAAAAAAATATTTTCAAGTTGTGTACCTCAAAGTTAATCATTGTCGCAGTCGCAGTCGCGCTGCTATTATTGTAGTCCGGACGCCAAGCTCGCATTGTCACCTGCGTAAGCATAAGAATTCCATAAATAGTAGATCGTAGACCATAAGAAACATTAAATTACTCCTGATTACAGCTTTACTGCCGTTGGTTACTTCACCCAGTCGTAAACAATTGTTTTCGGATAACAATCTTACTAAACAAGTTTCAGTAAGCGCCAAACAAAAGCCATTTCAAACTCAAACTCAAAAGCATTTATTTCAATTAAACCATCATTTGGTACTTTTGAAACGTCAACAAATATGAAATATATAATAGTCTGTCAGTCTGTCCGTCAGTGAAGCTAGGCGCTCGTTCCAAAATGTCGATTCGAGTGGAGAAGAACGAGTATGAAACTTCATTCGTTACTCTTTTAAAAAAAGTCTGTTTTACATTGCTCTGATACATATTCCAAAATTGTACACACATGTGAGAATAATGTAAAGACATACCTGACGCAACATACAAATAACAGAACATACTAAAATAGAAAAAAAAACAAAACCAAGAGGAAACAAATATCTTAAGTCTGACATGGTCCTCACATATGTATACTGACAATCCATATAAAATTTGTCACCATCACCACGTACAGCATAGTGCAGGGGCTACGTGACGAGTGATGCTCGTGAGCGTCGAGTTAGTCTGATGTGGACGCACTATTCGGAATCTTTCCATTAAATGACATCCATGTAACTACGTACCATCACCCTCATTTTCACCCTGCTTCTCTTTCTCTTCATTCTTTTTATCTTCCTCTTTGTCCTTCTGTGGCTCAACTTCAGCCAATTTCTGATCTCCGGCGCCAACATTGGGCGAGGGTTTCGGTTCGATGGGTATCACTTGCCCTGGCTCCCTTGCTTCCAGCTGGTTGCACTCCAGACATGGCTGGAGTTCCTCCTCCAACATGTATAACTAGACAAGGATTAGTCGGTTAGTCTAAGGGAACTACAAGCTTTTTAATTTGAAAGGGAGCAGTTCAGTCAAGGCCTGGCAGAAAGATGTATTCCAGTTAATTTTACTACTACTTATACTGTTGAAGCTAACTAATCAACTCAGACTCTTGCCCAACTGGCGTTATATTTCGTGACATATCCCTTTGAAGAACATAGTACGATAAATGACTTAGTATTACGAATTACTAACCCGTCCGTCGGTGCCGTACCCAGCGTACCGCTTGGTGGGCGGGCCGTGCAGCGCGGGCGGCGCGGCGCGCTCGTGCGACACGTGCTCCGACACCAGCGTGTGCGAGCCCCCCGCCCAGCGCCGGCACACGTGCGACCTGCCGGGACCTTTACCTCACTACCAGGCTACGTCGAGGCAGATACACTTTCAGAGGATTATAAACAAATGGTGGATAAAACCTATCACAAGACAATGGTGGGTACCGACCGTCCCAACCTAGAATTGAAATGAACTACTGAAAATACTGATTAGCTGTAGTACATAATCCCATGATTACTTTCTTTCAGATATGAAGTAGGTACGGTACCTACTACTACGTACATTAAGTAATTCGATGTTATAATGTCAGATAACTTGGAACATGGAACTAGTTTTTTACTATCTAGGTAATTGTTTGCACAAAGTCCTCGAAAATCTCGTCTAAAATGATCCCCACTTCAAACAACTGTCTACATAGGTTACTAGATTTAATATGTCATATACTGGAGATTCCAATTTTGTACCTGGTGTCTGCCGGTACCAGCGGCTTGAGCTTGGTGAGGCATGGCTCCTCCTCTCCGACCGGCGGCGGCCGGAACTGGGGCATAGCGAAAGGCTTCCCGTATTTTGGTTCTGTTAGCTCCATGAGTGCCGGAGTGAGACACGCTCCGCACGCCCCGCCCTTCGCCAGCGCCCGCATCAGTACGGCCGCCTGCACCACGTACACCGACAGACTTGTCAAAAATGAAGCTCTTCCTCTATTAATAATACTCCACAACATGAATTATCATTATCAGTGTTCTGATGAACACTGCAGAACACAAAGCGCTCCTACAGGACCACCAGTTCGTTCGACTTATATACATGTCTACCTAAAAAACTACAAAAACTTGGGAAGTTTTTGAAGGCTATAAGCAAATAGACTGAGACCTTCGGTTCTCCAAGCATGATGTACAACTGCCGCAGCTTCGCCTGGATATTCTTCAGCTCCATGGTGGCAGAGTCCTTAAGCACCATCAGTTGAATTATCTCTGCCTTGGTTTCTGCCACAGCTGACAGGTCTTTGAGCGCCGTCTATTTATTTTATTTACAAAGATAAGACAATCATTGCTAGAAGAACGAAGTGTAATATGTTCACATCTTTTTATTGCTTTATAAAGGTTGAGTATGCCTAGGAACATAGGAGTAGGATGCTGACCAGCCACACTATGTCCTGTTTCGTGAATTTTTCATAACAATGCATCAGTCGGTTGTCGAGTTCTGCGCGCGCGTGCAAGAAGTCCGTCTCGTGTAGTAGACCAGTCAGCCGCGAGATGTCCGCCTGATAAACAATGCACACAGAATTACTAGCAAATTAACTAATACATTTTTTATTTCACAAATGGTGTATATATATTTTATTAATATCACAATTTGACTTTGATTAATATGTATACATAAATATGACAAGCTGACCGGCAAACTTCGTTCCGCCAAAACTTTTTTTCTCACTTTTTAAACCTTCCACGAACATTTCAATACCAAAATCAGCCAAATCGGTTCAGCCGTTCTCGGGTTTTAGCGAGACAAACGGACGAAAATTCATTTTATTATATAGATAGATATCAAAGCGGTTACCTTATCCCTGAGGCCATCGTATACTTCGTCTCTGTCAGCTTTTTGTTCTCGAAGCATTTCAACACACTCCACAAGACTCTGCGAATATATACGTTTTTACTCACAAAGACATGAATATTTAATATCGATGTTCACTGTACTTAGCCCATGCACTAACTCGATTACTAGCATATATTCTTTTTCTATTTAAATTACTGCATCGTGCTGGTATTATTGTAATATTTTATAGGCAACCAACCCGCAGCTCTTCACTGAGTTGTTGCTGTAACGTGGTGAGGCCCTGGTGTGTGTGCAGCGTGTGCTCCAGCTCCATGACCAGCCCCTGGTAGCGCTCCGTCAGGTCCATCAGAGCTGTAACATTCATCACAACACTTTCTGCAATTGAAGTCCTCTTAATACATGCACAGAGACAATACAAAGGTTAGACTACACGTTTAAAATCGCCAATCCACCTTATACAAGCGTGGTGATTAAAGCTCATTCCTTCTCCATGTGAGAGGAGGCCTTTTCTTAGCAGTGAGACAAATACGAGTTGATAATGGCGGTCTACATATAACTTTTTAGTAAGCTATTAGTCAGCTAAGTGATCTTATTCGTGGTATGAATGCTCACCAGCCGACTCAGCGTTAGTAGTGGCTTGCTCGAGCCTGGCGATACCTTCCTTCAGCTCGGTCCTCACCTGCGCCATCTGTTCCTGGAAGCTGGCCATCTGAAGCCAAAATAGCACTTTGATTACATTTTAACTTATTAATGAAATATATAGCTCACTCACGTGAAAAGCTCAACTATCTTGATATTAGTTATTGTATAAAATGACTGCACGGTTGGTGCGGTGGCTGGGCAACCAGCTGCCGTGCAACGTGTCGCGGGTTCGATTCCCACACGGAACAACACTTTGTGTGATCCAAAAATTGTTGTTTCGGGTCTGGATGTCATTGTGTATGTGAACTTGTATGTTTGTAAACGCACCCACGACACAGGAGATAATGCTAGTGTGGCGCAACGTTTAAAAAAAATTATATTTACTCATTGCCGAAACTACATTGTTTCTTATTTTCCAATATGTACCTGAGTTGTGAGGCCGGAATCGAAGCCACTGAGCTGCGCGGCATAATCAGCGGCCTGAGAGTTTAACTGGGTGATCCGTTTATCTAGTCTCTCAGCCAGATCCATTTTCTCCGCTATTAAAAATCACAAACATTAGTATACAATAGTCTATTATCATATCATATCTATACATACATATAATAGAAATGCAGAAGTGTAAATTCTGTACATTGAAAATATTTAAAAAATATATACTAGGGGTGTTACTGTGGGGATGCATAGGTACATTGTTATCGCCTATATATGAAATGATTTAATAAATGTACAACAGTTGGCACTCAGACAGCGCACGTTTCATTTCTCTCTCAACACATGTAACCTTACACTGGTGACCCCGACTACTCATAATTCCCAGTAACGTAGGCGACACATAACGCTCATATACGACGCTCATCTACTACCACGTGTGCACTAAATTCAAGAAAAATGAATACACAATTCGAACAAACGCCACAGCAGCCAACTCCAGCGCCTATAACACCGAAAACAGAAGAATCAACCGCCATAATTTCGTTGTTAACTGTCGCAAGTAAGATTCCGGAATTTTGGCCAGAAAATCCCCGATTATGGTCTTTACAAGTCGAAGCCATATTAGCACCTCAAAAAACCTCGGACGCCAACAAATACTTCATGGTTGTGGCAAAACTCAGTAAGGAGGTAATCCAGCAAGTTGCGGACATAGTTGCGAGCCCCCCGGAATGCAACAAGTTTGAAGCCCTCAAAAATCGACTATTGCAAATTTACGAAGAATCCGAAACGAGACAAATTCAAAATCTGATATCTGAAATAGAACTTGGAGACCAAAAACCCAGTCAACTGCTACGAAATATGAAGGAGCTAGCAAGAGGTAAAATAGAAGCAGACACACTAAAAATATTATGGCAAGGACACCTGCCTGCACCTGTAAGAGCAGTCCTCACAGTGACGTCAGCGAAAGATTTGGAAGAACTAGCCGTCATAGCAGACAAAGTAATGGAGACCCACCAAACTGTACAAGTCAGCGAAATAGCCCGCAGCAACCAAGAAAGTTCAACAGCTTTCGAGATAGCCACAATCAAGGCAGAAATAGCGAAAATAAACCTAAAGATAGCGGAAATGGACAGAGGAAGAAGAAGGCATAGAAGCAGGAGCGGATACAGAAACTCTGTGGAGTCGCGTTCTCGATCAAGGCCACGAAGAACGCCCGAAAGTCCAAACTGGTTGTGCCCGTATCACTTCAAGTTCAGGAACAGAGCTACGAAATGCGTAGCGCCCTGTAACTGGAAGACGAAGATAGCACCAACCAATCCGGAAAACTGAGAAGACTACAACCGGTAGCGGGAGGTTGTGCAGTCAAGGACCACCGCCTTATCGTAAGTGACCAAAAATCTAATATCAGATTTCTCATAGATTCTGGTGCATGTATTTCTGTAATTCCTAAATACATAGTTAAAAACAAAATAGAATTAGATTATAATTGTGAATTTAAGCTATATGCCGCAAACGGGTCAGTAATAAAAACGTATGGTACTAAGACATTAACATTAGATTTAAAATTGCGCAGACCTTTTTCCTGGACATTTGTAGTATGCAATGTCAAACAACCTATACTCGGTGTAGATTTTCTTAACCATCACAAGCTAATTGTAGACATCAGTGGTCGTTGTTTATTAGACAAAACAACCAATCTGGCAATCAAAGGAACGATCGTAAACCATCATGTGTCAGCAATATCGACATTACGAAGTGATCATCCTATATATAATATTTTAACTAAATATCCAGAGATTCTCAAACCTATGTCATTTAAAGAGGCTCCGAAGCACTCTGTTTATCATTATATCGACACAACAGGTCCTCCTATTCACTGTAAACCTAGACCATTAGCTCCCGAGCGATATCGAATAGCTAAGGAAGAATTTAGAACATTACTATATATAGACACCGCACCCAAAAATGTGATTTAAAAAACTCTTGTCTGTCTGTCTGTCTGTATGTTCACGCAAAAACCAGCAATCCGATTACGATGAAACTTGGTAGGATAATACTTTAATATCCTGGGCACAATACTGCTTATTTATCCCGAAGGCATCAAATCGGCTGAAGGAACCGAAATGATATTTGGAGTATGTCTTTTATCCCCGACGGGGTAGGTAAAGGTGCACATTACGGCACTTAATGCCACTGTACAATGTAACACCCACTTTTCACTACCTATGTTCCATGTAGTAGGGGCTGAGCCTATAGACATATTATGCCGTCGTGGGATGTTTTTATATAGGTAAGTTTTAAGGAAAACATTTCCGTCATACATGATTTCTGTGTAATTTTAACCATTAAGGTATTACTAAAAATCTTAGGTGTCTGCCACTGCCACAATCGCTCGCGTTATTAGTTATCGAGATAATACAAGTGTCTGAGCGTTAGGTGGCGTCCGACGTTAAGGGACTTCCCCCTATATCTCTATGTTGAGTCTTTTAAGTTCACAATAAAGAATAAATATTTTTAGTACAGTACTTACGTACATTAATAAAATCCCTTTTACTTGTATCTATTGTTATCAAACTTAAATGATAAGTTCTTGACTTGACCACGACAATGTCCCCCCTACTGGCGCCAAAGCTAGATCCGCCCTTGACCACATACGCTAACTTGTCCTCTGGGAACGCGGACGAAACTACTGGCTATACGAATGTATATAGGTATGTCATGTTGAATACTTTACCGACTCCCTTGGACGTACTGACGGCCACGTCTGCCGAGTGTGTGGCTCGAGCTGTCATTGTGTTTATAGTTTTCTTGAAGTCATCTTTAATGATTAGCAGAACATCTCTGAAAGAAAATTAACGTTTATACATGTGTGTGTATGTGTGTGTGTGTGTAGTCAACTGGTCAATAAAGATGGGAATCATATAAAATACAAGTAAGTTAAATATAAGACACAAGCTTCTACCTCAAACTTCGTACGTATATAAGATTTCCAGGTTGGTGTTGAGTAATTCAATTGATTGGTCATGGAGTCCTGGAGAAAATGGAAAATAGTTACTCGAAAACATTAGAACAGTACTTACTCCATCTCAGCATGTGTGACTGCTTTGTAGGCTGCATCGGAAGCTCTGCCACCCATTGACGGTCTGATGGCAGCCCCGTCTACTCTCCTTGGTAAGCCAGTACCGGGATCTATAGCGACTGACTTCCGAAATGAAGGAGTACTGATACTCTCCGGCTGGCATAGCAGGGAAGGTAAGGATATGTAGTATTCTGTTATGAAAGACTAGGTATTGATTGCAGCAACTGTTTTTGACTGTTTTTGTTAATCGAAAAGAACCTTGCATGAATGAACAATGCTCAGGATTAAGCGATTTAAAATAAAATACAATGTCATCTAAGTGATATATAAGTGAATCAATGTATAAAAAAATACTTACAGCGCCTGCTCCTGGCTCCCAGGGCAACGTCCCCGTCGCCGTACTCTCTGCCCTCGCTCCATGCGATGGCTGGGTAGTGAACGCTTGACCCCCCGTGTCTGAAGAATATGGCCCATGCCCTACTCCTCCCTGCCCTACACCCTGTGTTCCTGTGGTAGACGATGGTGGCACACGTGAACCAGGTGGCATTTTTCGAGCCCCGGTAGGCACTGGCATTCCTTGGCCTGATCCTGGTGTTTGTCCTGAAACTTGTCCTGGAAGTTGCTCCGCAAACTGTCCTTGAACTTGTCCTTGCCATTGTCCAGTAGCTTGACCTGGAAGTGGTCCGACAAATGGAGCTTGCCCTGGCCCCTGGCCAGATACTGGTTGCCGCGCTACCTCAGGCGTCGATTTGGAAAATTGTTTAAATTCGGAGCCCACCTCCCCGATGCGACTTGCCATTTCAGCGGGCAGCGCACCCGTCGCTGCAAGCTGCGTCAGCAAGCCTGCCATCTGTGTCAGACCGCGCTCAGCAGCCGTCACACGAGCAGTCAACTACGAAAAATGAATTACCTATGGACTAATATTATTAAACAATGAAACGTATCCTGCTATAATATTAATCATAACATAACATCACGCCTTTTATCCCCGAAGGCATAGGCAGAGGTGTACAATGTACAGTACGGCACTTAATTTCATGGTACAATGTTACATTATTGTAACACCAACTTTTACACTATTTATGTTATAAGTCCCATATAATAGGGGGTGAGCCTATTGCCATATATATATCGGGTATATTTCCAGACTCCATGCCACTACTGAGAACACAGTAAAAAAAAACAGTACAACTTTACCCGACCCGGTAATCAAACCCGAGACTCCTTGCCCGGCAGTCACACTTGCGACCACTCGGCGAACGAGGCAGTCCTACTATAATGTTATATATGCGAAAGTTTATGTTTGTTACTCCTTCACGCCAAAATGGTTGAAAGAATCAGGCGTTACTTTGCGGCAATCCATACTACACCAGCTATTGAGAAAATATTTCATTTTAATTCCACTGGAGTAATGAATTTGCAGCATGTGGTATGCAGGATGACGCTCCCGCTCGCAAGTAAGCTTATCTAACAGAACAATTTTTGTGTAACGAATAGATGAATGAACTCAAAAACTACTCGACCGATTTATCATTACGTTAATGTATGTACTATATTTATTGCTATAAAAATGCAATTGTTTTCAAAATCATTCTAAACCCGTGAATAAAATTCGCAATTGGGATGATGACAGGGTATACAAAATAAAAAATCGAATTAGTCCGTAAGTTAGGTAATGAAAAAATATTAGACACGTCATTTTTTATTTTGTCGTATAATAAAACAATACTTAAATAAAACTAATCAAAGTTTAGGAGTGAGGGCTACAACGTCATTTCTACGTATAAAATGTACATACATAGAAGTGACGTCACGCGACATTTCAAATCAATCGTCGAAAGTATTCGTTTTCTCGAAATTAAAAAATACGTATCTAATGATTTAAAATAATCTACCAGACGGACATTAAAATAAAAGTTCGGCATCTACCCTATTGCATCTATCTCTTATATCTATCTAGATTTCGTGAGTAGCCAAAAAATCTGCAACAATTACCTACCTAACAATTTTAACGTGCATTAAAACTGTTATCAAGGATATAAGCAACAACATCAAGTAGTTTATAGTATTATACCTGCATGGCTTTCATGGTGTCGGTGAGTGACGCAGTGCCTTTGGCCAGGTCTTGTCTTAAGCGCTGGTTGTCAGGCATCGATGGTGTGGGCAGAGGGCCCGCTACCTTCTGCAGGTCGCGGACAGCTTTCTCGAGTAACGCAAACTGCGAGGCAGTTACCACATCAATGCTACCGACGCGTGGACCGTGGCCACCTGAAATTAATCATAATTAACGTGACCAGACGGCCCGTTTCGAACGGGATTGTCCCTTTTTATAATCACAAGTCCCGTAAGATTAATTCCCGTTCCGGGATTGAATACCGATAGGTACTAATTTCGGTTGTGGTTCCTCATTCAAGTTCTTATAAGGGTTCCGCTATTCAATACGGTTCTAGTTCCGGTATCGGTTCCAGTTTGGGTTCCGACGTACCGGTTCTATAGTAACTCAAATATATCGTATAGTAACCTCTACTAATACTACTTAAAATGTGTATAGGAGTCTAAGTGTTTTTTTTTAAGGGGATAAAATCATCGAATGACTGCGCCCGCCCGTGAGGCGGGAGGGAGTGTCAGACTCTTACTGACTAAAAACCACCCCGGTCCTTCTCCTGCACGTCGAGCCGGAGCCCCGGTTACCCGTTAGGTTCTCCGCGACTCGGAATCGGCATCGGCCCTGTTGGGCCCCATCTGTGGTGGTCTGATGGTTCTTTGAGGCGCGCGCGGAACGCTCGGCGCCGTACGCTCGGGTCTGTTTCTGGTGGGACGGGGAGCCATCCATGCTCGCCGTCCGCAGGCCCGCGCTTACGGTGGCCGGAGATCGTCCCGCGATCCCCGATGCCCGGTGTGTCCTTCGCGATGGCTGGATTGTGAGGAGGCAGCGCTTCACTGCCTCACGCGTCCCGCCACCTCCTTAACTAGCATGACTGCTTCGTAAAAGGAGACGGCATCCCAGTCCCCCTCGCTCCGCATCATGACCCGATGAGTCTATGTGTAGCCTCTACTTGTATCTAGCCATAAAAGGGATCCGAGTTTCATATTGAAAATAATGAACACAATCTTTCAAGTGTGTTTTTACAAAATTATACAAATGTGCTTCCATATTTTCTTAACCATAAACTTGCGTTCTTTTTTGCGTTTGCTTAGAAATAAGAACTGGTAAAATAAAACTTCCTAAAGGTTCCAATTTAGGTATTGATTCAGGTACCGGTAGGCGGTATAGGTGGCGGAACCCTTAAATACTTGTTCTTTACCGGTATTTCGGAACTGTTTTCAATCTCTGTTCCATTGTCCTCGAAATGACCTATGGGACGCAAAATACTCCCGTTTTTGGAAACCACGCAAAAATTCGAATAGTCGAACATATGCGACGACCGTTCGGATGGCTCGAGTGATGTGTGAGAGCGATACAGACACAGTGTCATACTTAATTAGCTCGCTAATTTTTGACGAAGTACAGTCGAAAACCTTTAGTAGGTACTTAACTTTGCCCCACTCTAGGGCTTTCTCCTGTATCGTGGGTGCGTTTACAAAATCACAGATTCACATACACCTGACACCCGGAACAATAATTTGTGGATCACACACAGTTATTCCGTGCGGGAATCGAACCCGCCGCCACACGTTGCGCGGCATTCGGGCAGTCAAAAACACGTTTTGTGCAGTTAGTAATGTTAACCTTGTGGGCACTAAGTCTGTGTTTACAGGTTCTGTAATAGGGTCTACTGCTACTAGTTGCCTGACTAAATCGAAATAAACGTATGTATCGAGTAAAAAAATAAATGGTCAAGTTAGTCACAATATTTGTGTACAAAAATGTTACATGTATGAGGATTTATAGTTAATACGATACAGATTTGTTCTCTCCCCCCAATTCCGTTCTTATGAAGATAAAAGCGAGAAAGTTTACTGCTAACCAATGGTAGTCATTGGTTTTTGAAGTAGGTACCTAGGTAAGTAATTCAATTAGTTTCATTACTCACCCGAAGTGCGTCCTTTTCCCACTGAAATGACAAACAAAAAAATTTATTTTTCATACATGAAATAAACTCTAATTGTATTACATCAACTACTATTTTATAATTACCTGCTAATACTTTATCTTCGCCTCCCTTGCCCTTGTGGCCTTTTCGCTTCGCTTCTAAAATAACAAATTATTAAATTATTCAAATTGAACTGTCAACAAAATCAAACAACATGACATATTTATGTTACCAATCTACATGGTAACAGGCGACAAATTGTGAATCAGAATACACTGATCGTGCGGTAATCGAACCCACGACATATTGCATAGTAGCTGGTCACTGATCAACTGCACCTGTTTCTTTTTTACCACAGTATAGACACCCTGGACAAGATTAACTTGAAGCCAGGGTTTAAGTAACTGCAATTTGTAAGAAAGTGATCATTTTCAACTTTTCTCCGACCTTCGGGTCGCCATTTATTAACTAAAGGCTGTTTAGCGTAACGTAGCACCGAAACTAGCACCTGTACTTGTACTGTTAGCTGTCACTCGAGGGGTTGGTGAAAATATTAAAGTAATGTCATAGCTTGGGGGGTTTCAATAAAATTAACGGAATGTTGGTGAAAACGGGTTTAAGTGGTAGGCCACTCTAACACTTAAACAGACCCTAGTCAGGCCGCCCCTGGCCCCCCGCCCTTGGGGAGGAGGGTAATTGGGCCTCTAGTAACCTAGTAAAATTCACACAACGAAACATAACGAAAGCGTTGTTTCACGTCGGTTTTCTGTGAGGCCGAGGCGAGCCGGCCCATTCGTGCCGAAGCATGGTTCTTCCACTCTTGATTACCTACTTACTTTTAAAACTAATAGAGTAAACCCACTTAATAATTAGGTACCTGTTACAGTGATGCTTGTACGAGACCCAGAAGTTTTTCCTCCAGACTGAAATATAATTATAGACAATTACCATTTTCAGTTTAAATCAAGTAATTATATAAACAAGGAATTTACATAATTATTATAATTACTATGGGAACTGTAATAAAAATTGTAACCTTACCGCGGCTGATCTGCCTGAAGAAGTTCCTGATTTTTGTGCTTTCATTCGTTCTGCACTTCTTGCCGATCGCATTTTGGCTATCTCTTCTCTTTTCTTACCAACTCTTTCCTCTTCTGCTCTTTCTTCAGCACTGGTTGCCCCACTGTCTTGTGCGCCACTGCCGCCGATACCTTGAGCACCCATCGCCCCTCGCCCCGCGCCACCACCTGCTCCCCCGCCGCCACCCGCGCCGCCTCTGCCACCCCCTCCCCCGCCAGCTCCTTCACCGCCATATCCCTTTTTCTCTCGTCCTTCTCGGTCCCCACCCTTTTCTCGTTTACTTTCCTCATAGTCTTCCTTTTGACTTTTCTGTCTACCACGAGAGTCTTCTCTATCTCCTCCTCGCTCGGTGCCCCCTCCCTTATCTCCACCTCTGTCTCTTCCTCTTTCTCCACCACGACCTTCTCTGTCAGCACTTCGACCACCACCCCTGTCTTTACCACGATCTCCTCCTCTATCTTCAGCACGACCACCGTCTTTCGCTCCATCTGCATATTCATCTCTGCCACCTCCTCCCCCCCTGCCCCCTGCCCCTCCTCCGCCTCGATCCCTACCTCTATCTTCAGCACCACCACGCTCACCACCCCTATCTCCGTCACGCCTGCCTCCTTTATCTCCGCCCCGGTCATCATCTCTATCTCTGCCGCGACTACCTCCCCTCTCTCCGCCCCGGTCATCATCTCTATCTCTGCCGCGACTACCCCCCCTCTCTCCGCCCCGGTCATCATCTCTATCTCTGCCGCGACTACCCCCCCTCTCTCCGCCCCGGTCATCATCTCTATCCCTTCCACGACTACCCCCTCTCTCTCCGCCCCGGTCATCGTCTCTATCTCTGCCACGACTACCCCCTCTCTCCCCACCCCGGTCATCATCTCTATCCCTTCCGCGGCTACCCCCTCTCTCCCCACCCCGGTCATCATCTCTATCTCTGCCGCGACTACCCCCTCTCTCTCCGCCCCGGTCATCATCTCTATCCCTTCCGCGACGACCCCCCCTCTCCCCACCCCGGTCATCATCCCTATCTCTGCCGCGACTACCCCCTCTTTCTCCGCCCCGGTCATCATCTCTATCACTTCCGCGACTACCCTCTCTCTCTCCGTCTTCGTCGTAATCTCTATCTCTGCCACGACTGCTCCCTCTCTCCCCATCTCGATCATCGTCTTTTCGCCGACGTCGTGCTTTCCCCCCACCCCGATCTCTACTACGATCATAATCTCTGTCATCATATTCTTCGTCTTCGTCATAACTTCTCCCAATAGTTCCTCCATCTTCTATTCTATCTCCATCTCTTTTTGCCTTTTTCCGACCTCGTTTTGCTTTTTTTGTGTCAGTCAATCCTGCTTCGCTAGCGTATGCCTCAAGAGGTTTTCCTTCAAGTCCGAATTCGTCAACCTTAATCTCAACATCTTGTTCAAGTAAACGCATCTGACGTGCCAAAATGTGTAGCACAGCTTGAATCATTTTAAAGTTGACTACATTTCTCTGTAAAGATTAAACATTAAACATTTTCTTTGGTGATATTAAACAACTTAAATAAAAATCGAAACTCCCTCATTGTATGTATGTACCTATAATAACGTTTCAAATTACTTAATCTATGAAAACAGTCGTGTAAATAATGAGTACCTACTTAAATGCATAGAAAAAAAATATAAGTACAGTTTGTTGCGAGGAAGGGTAGTGGTGACAGATGGTGAGGGTCACTACTTAATTATAGAATAACAAAACTTAATTAAATTTTACCCGACCCAGGAATCGAACTCAAGACGTATCCTTTGCTCGTTATTATTTCATTTTGTAAAGTTGTAGGCAGATCACGCCACCCTTAGATTACATTTGACACGTTTTTGCTACCTACTTACATCGGCGGTCCCAAACGCCGTGTTGATGAGATCCTCGACATTCAAGAGTAATGTCTTGTCACTCATTGTGGGCTCTTCGACAAATTGTTGATTTGGCTTCATGGTGTTTATAAAGCTCTGAATACAAATTACAACAAAATGAACAGACAAGTTTAAACCATAGGTATATCTAGTCGCTAAGCAAAACTTGAGAAACAGTATCAAAATTATTTTGTGAATGTTCTTTATTTGATTGTCACTCAGTTTATGATGTTAAAGAGTTATTATGCGCCAGTCATACAAATGATTTAAAAACATTATGCTTGTAACCTTATTCGAGATTCACAAAAAGAAGCGTATAGATAAATCATGATGTCGCGGAGAACCTAACGAGTAACCGGGGATCCGTCTCGACGTGCAGGAGAAGGAACGGGGTGTTTTTTAGTCAGTAAGAGTCTGACACTCCCTCCCGCCTCACCCAGGCGGGAGCAGTCATTCGATGATTTTCCCCCCTTAAAAAAAAAATAGATAATCATCATAATAAAATTATCATCATGTTAGTACAGGTGTTGGGTACAGTCAAGTAAGTACCTACAATAGCATTCCTACGTAGGTAAGTTTTTGACAAGGAACTCGACTAGTTTCAAGAGGTCCTCGTCAAACAGGTACCGACTTCTTAGCTTCAGTGGATGTGTAATCTATATCTATACATATAATAAAATCGTAGGAAAGTGAAAACTGTACATAGAATATTTTTTAAAAGAATGCTTTGAGCGTGATCTACAATCGATACCGAACCCAAAAATATGGATTTTAGGATTTTTGTCTGTTTGTCTGTATGTCCGGAATAATCTCAAAAATTACTGCATGGATTTGCTTCAAATTTTGCATGAATATTACTAACAGATCGGGTCTACATATATGCTACTATCACGCTATCATCTAAGGGGAGAGGCTGAATCAAATCTGACGACATTCGTTACCGTAGAATATTCCCTTGATAAAGACTAATTCAAAAGCCTCAATTCTTCCAGATGACATTATTCTACGCGGACGAAGTCGCGGGCAACAGCTAGTTTATAAATACGTTACGTATGACCAATAACAAACCAATAATAGTTTGCTCCTTAGTTTTTACTTTCCGTTGGATTTTAATTTTTGAAGTCAGTTTTCTTAAACGCATTTTTTTGTGTTTATTTACCACTTCCACATTCATAATTATGTCAATAGGTACTAGCCGACACGGCAAACTTCGTACCACCTAAAAATTATTTTCCCACCTGTTAAACCTTCCCTGGACTTCTACAAACATATCAAGATCAAAATAAATTGAAGACTCACGAACGGAATTTCATTTTGATTTAGAGAGATTATAAAAATAGATCCATAACTAAGATCCGAGTAAATCTGATGATTAGACAAGGACAATCGAACTTGAGTAATGACTGAATTTGGAAAAAGTGTGTTCGCTATACCCTCTGGTCTAGTGTCTGCCAGGATCCTTCTAGACTAGATATACAAGTGAACGTCGTAGTTTTATTTGGGTCCTTTGTGAGAAAATGTAAGAGCAAAGTTTGTATATCACTTCGGATTTTTATCTACAGTCCAGTAGCGTGCGCGTCAAAAAGTAATAACCGTTAGCTACAACAGGGAAATGAAACAGCATTGTGTACACTTTATTGTATTTATTTATAACTTTCGTCTCCTCAACACGTAACTTCACAGAGGTTCAAACAGCAAGTAACTATACGTTATTATAGCGCATGATTTTTTGTACAAGACACGCCGCTAGCTAATACAGCGAGAACTATCAAAGTAAACATAATACTGAACTCTTATACATTTCCGGTACATCAAAATGCTGGTAACACTGATATCGAGACACGAAAAGCGTAAAAAAACTGTTGCTTTTATTTTTTTCAACAAAAACATGTTACTTCGATTAAACTCTAATAATAACGTGGAATGCAAGAGGGTACTCGATATTATGATTTGTTTAACACGCGAAGTACAAACGGGCGTAAAATAATTGATTGTTAGTGTATAAATAGTATGTATATATTTTTATATAAATAACAACTAATTAACTGCGAGCGTTGGCGCGGCGGGCCGCCGGCATTTGTTCGTGTATTTACAAATGGAGCGGGGCGTCCGGCGACCTGCCGCGCGGCGCTCCTTTCAATTTCAACAATTGGAATTACGAATTCTGCATTGAAATACGAGTAATAATATAATTAATCCTATTCACACTACGTAGACTTTAACACATTTATTTATGTCTATTTAGTGTATTAACAATACGCTCTCGCGTAGCACTGTCGACTATGGTGTAGTTAGAGCGACCACGCCAGTAGTTTCGATCTCCTAACATTAAGTAGAGGCAGGCGTGGGCTGGTGCGGTGATGGCGACCGAGGTGACGTTTAGTCCTCGAGGTTGCGGAAGGCGGCTGCCATGTCTTCCAGGAGTTGGTCGAAGTCTGCCTTGATCTTAGCCTCGCCTTCTTTCACGGGGTCCTTGAACTTCATGGAGGAGAGCTGGTAGAGTACGTTGCCCATGGCGTCACGGATGACGTTCCAGGTGACCTTGTTGTCGGACTGGGCGGTGGACTCCACGGCGTGTCGCGACATGTCGTAGAATGCGATGATGTTCTTCAACATGCCCACGGTCTTGTAGAACGGACAGAAACGATCGTACGACGAGTAGCTGCGGAAGACAGACAATACAACTTTGTTACTCATTGTATCAAACAAGTTATACCTTATTATAATTTTTTTATGGGATAGGAAGGAAACGAGCAGCTGCATCACCTAATGGTAAGCGTTCAACGCCACCCATGGACACCCGCAACACCAGAGGAGTCACAGGTGCGTTGCTGGCCCTTTCATAAGTACTAATTAGTCATTTATATTGTAAGTTTTTTTAAAATTACCTGTTTTGTTGCAAGAAGTCGTCTTTAAGCAGCTTGGCGACCTCGAGGGTGATTTTGTCAGTTTCGGCAAGCGATGCCTTACCGACCAGCTGCACGATTTCAGAAAGATCCTCTTCTTCCTGTAGGATCTCCTTGACCTGGTAGGTACAAAATCAAAATAAACAAACTGGAATACCATAACAACATTTGAGGATATAAACATAGATAGATCGACGCATACCTTGGTCCTGAGGGGCACGAACTCGGGGTAGTTCTTCTCATAGAAGTCGTCGAGCGCTCGCATGTACTTGCTGTAGGAGATGAGCCAGTTGATGGCGGGGAAGTGCTTGCGCTGCGCGAGCTTCTTGTCGAGACCCCAGAACACTTGCACGATACCCAGCGTGGCCGCCGTCACGGGGTCGGAGAAGTCTCCTCCGGGCGGCGACACGGCGCCGACGATGGACACGGAGCCCTCCCTGTCGGGGTTACCCAAGCACTTCACTCGTCCGGCACGCTCGTAGAAGGAAGCCAGTCGAGCTCCCAAGTAGGCGGGGTAACCGGAGTCAGCAGGCATCTCAGCCAGACGACCTGAGATCTCACGAAGAGCCTCAGCCCAACGAGAGGTCGAGTCAGCCATCATGGACACGTTGTAACCCATGTCACGGAAGTACTCGGAGAGGGTAATACCTGGTGACATAAAATCATTATTATTATTACATTCAATTACACAGATTCTGTCTCAATAGTGGTATATAATGAAAGCGAAGTGTAAGTGAACAGAATAAGTTACCGGTATAGATGGAAGCCTCTCGGGCGGCTACAGGCATGTTGGAGGTGTTGGCGACGAGTGCTGTACGCTTCATGATGGACTCGGTCATGCCCTCGATCTCTACCGTCAGCTCGGGGAAGTCACGCAGTACCTCAGACATCTCGTTACCTGCACCATAACACTACAAATTAACTGACGTTCTGCAAGTTAAATATACGTAAGCACAAAAAAATCTTGAAGTCTTCTTGTCATCAAATATTGAATGTGCTATACAATATATTTATACAATGGTACATACCACGTTCACCGCACCCGACGTAGATGATGACGTCGGAGTTGGAGTACTTGGACAGAGCCTGTGAGACGACAGTCTTGCCACAACCGAAGGCGCCGGGGATGGCCGTGGTACCACCCTGGACACAACTGTACAAAACAAACAATCGTTTTAATTTTTAATACGAACATTGCCTGCATGGTTAGTACAACCGTAGCAGGGCAGATGTATTGCAGTACATTACTAGGTACGTGAAGTAGTACTCACGGGAAGAGAGAGTCGAGGACGCGCTGGCCCGTGAGTAGCGGATGGTTGGCGGGCAGCTTCTCGGTGATCTATTGCAGTACATTACTAGGTACGTGAAGTAGTACTCACGGGAAGAGAGAGTCGAGGACGCGCTGGCCCGTGAGTAGCGGATGGTTGGCGGGCAGCTTCTCGGTGACGGGTCGCGGCTGGCGCACGGGCCAGACCTGCAGCATGGAGTACTTCTCCTTCTCGCCGTCGAACTCCGTCTCCAGCACCACGTCCTGCGGCACGGGGTCGTGTACGTACTTCAAACGACTAACACACGTATATCGGACATTTTTGGGACTGGATTTAATAATAACTTCTACTTAAAGTCCGCAAGTTGTGACAATAATTACGACACTGACATAACAGGTAGCTTGATTGATGCGCCTCCTTTCTTCGTGTGAGAAAAAGTCTTTCCACGGTAGTGAAACATATAAGTATACTTATGTGATGATATTTTCACTACTTTAATACTAGGTGCCGTGTTTATTTTGCACCCATGCACCTACTACAATACTTACAGTGACTTTGTAGTTGCCGGGTGGCGCGATGTAGGTGACGGTACCCTTGGCCTTGGGTGGGATCAACATCTTGTGCTTAACCAGTGTGTTCTCGTGTACGATACCGTACAAGTCTCCTCCGGTGATGTGGGAACCGACCTGATGAACAAATATTTAACATTTTTTTTTTATTTATTTCAGTTATACAGCAGTAAATATAAAAATAATAAAAAATGTTTTATACATGTTGTAAAACCAATTCTTTACTGTACCCACCTTAACACTCAAGGGGTTGAATTCCCAGGTGACATCACGTCCAAGGCAAGGTACGTTGACACCCTTGGGGATGTAGATGGACTGTGTGAGCTCGTTGATGTCCTTCAATGGACGCTGGATACCGTCAAAAATGGAGCCGAGGATACCGGGACCGAGCTCTACAGACAGGGGCTTGCCAGTACGCAGTACGGGGTCACCTACTGTTACACCTGATGTTTCTTCGTATACCTGTGTTTAACATTGTCTCGATTATGAATTACGATACACATACGATCTACGTTTGAACGAATTCAAAAAAATAACTTTTAACTTTGACCTCTATGTAAAAATATGATAATAAGAACTTGTCCGATTTTATATAATACCTAACATAGGTACTAAAAATCCCGGGTTATTCACGTGAAAATACTGAGAAAAGCTCTACTAGTTTCGAACCACAGAGGGGTTCTTCCTCATGAGCAGTCCCTTTCCTTCCTTTCAGTTCCCTTTCCTCAGTATTTTCACGTGAGTAGCTCGGGGTTTTTAGTTATTTGTCAGATTATTGGCAACTTTTTGTTGTTTTTTGTAGAGTTCATTGAGAAGCAAGTACCTGGATGGTGGCCATGTCACCCTCAAGACGAATGATCTCTCCGACCAGCTCGTGGTACCCGACACGCACCAGCTCGTACATAGCCGATCCGGACATTTTCTCCGCCGTGACGACTGTCGTAATCATTGAAATTCATTATTTTTATTTATGTTCAATCAACATAACAATTATTTTAAAATATGGGGTTAAGAGATGACAAACAGTATGAAATATTTATTTTCATCAGTTTATTTGGACTGCCTGGCTTGACTGCTGGCCGAGCGCTCGCAAGTTCGATTCTCGGGTAAGGCAAAGTATTACAGGGTTTCTTAAAAATTCTCAGTAGTAGCACCGAGTCTGGAATTGTGCCCGGTATATGGCAATAGGCTCACCCCCTATTATATGGGACTCAAAACATAAATAGTGAAAAGTGAGTGTAACATTGTAGGTACAGTGGCATAATGTGCATCTATGCCTACCCCTTCTGAGATAAAAGGCGTGGTGTGATGAATGTTGTTTGGACTGTCTCACTCAATAGTTATCTCATAACAAGACGAGTGAATGTTTCATCTTTTGGTGAAATTATAAAATTTCAGTAATTGAATAGATTTCCTTAATTGATGATAGGTTGCCTTTTACCTATTATTTTTATGAGAGATTATAACTTTGTAAGACCTAACAAATAAAAAAGTCCATGGTCTGTCTAACACAAGTGTCTTTTTTATTACAATTTGTTGCAATACAATTAAACTATTCCCTATGACATTAATATAAAATATGTCACAGTACATCTGTATGGTGCATAATAAACAGAAACTAGTGCCAAATACGCCTTACAATGACGTAAGAAACGTTCACAATGTTGACCTATATTTCGTGAAAAATTGTGACCTAGATATTTATCGAAATTACTACTAGAGATATCAAAAGGCTTTTCTTTTGCTGAATCAGGTCTTAGCTTAGTAATAACACAAAACATCACGCCTTTTGCTCCTCAAAGGGGCTGGCAGAGATATAAAAATTTCAGACATTCAGGTTCTCAACATAATTCTATACTTGCACCTACTCAATTAACAACTAGGCAAGCACTCAAATGTTGTAACGAAATAAATAAAACATGTACATACCGGGACCGGATACGGCGAATACGAATCCGAACTTCTCCTCCTTATCCTCATCAGCGATTGTCTTCAAACCGCTTTTGCTCATTTTGAATTATTAATTCTTTGCCTGCTGAAAAATAGTTCACATTACTAAAAAATAGACAATGGTTACATTAACATCATTAGTTTTATAACAGTCCACAATTGTACAATAAAATTCTAGTTAAGGTCTCGACTGCCAATAGAAAATTGTTAAAGGCAAATCATTTGCTAACGTCGGTCACTGATGACCCCCATAGCATTCAATGTGTTAAGTGAACCTCTTCACATATAACACCAACAATATCTGTAGAGTACTTGATGACACTAGTTAACATAAATTATCAAGTACAAATGTGGAAATTAAAAAAAATACAAATTGACAACACAATATGAAGATTGCACTTGATTCTGCCAACATTTGTGCAAATTAACTCAAAAATGTTAAAAATATAACCACATACACAGAATTTTTTCTTAAATCTACTACTTTTTTAAATTTCAATGACACACCAATAGTTTCAGTGTAAATAAAGAAAATTAAACCTATTGCAACTGCAGCTGTACCTTGTAGCTGATCAGAGTAAAACCATAGACTGACAGATCAGCTGACCTAACTTTTATCAATGAGTACTGATAAACAGCATCATCCATCAATGTCAAATGTCATTTTTTAAGAATTTTCTGTCAAATAATATTATGTATGATTTTATGGAAAAATTATTCATACAAAACATTTTTAATTACAAACTTTATCCTTGATGTAACTCCATAGATAGATATTACAAGCATCTTTAGTAATCACTGTTTGATACAATAAAAATTTAAACTTTAATTTATGTAATCACATTATTATAAGGTCTCTGTCTTGTTTATAATACCTATTGTTTAATGAATTTTAGCATAAAATTCATCTATTTTCCAGTACAAATAATGTTTATCTTAGTAAGTTTCTCGATCACCGGTCATATGACCTAAATCTACTGTTTCTAACCGTTTCGTTTCTAACATATCATTTGATGCATTGTTCATAATTTTAAATACAAAAGAAGAGTATAACAGTTGGGAAAGAGTTTCCTACTTTTACATATTATAATTTGAGATAAATGAAGATTTGAGTGGATACACTATCATGTATTAAGCTTGTCACCCTACAACGGGTTACTATGTGTATCCTACTATTACACAATTATAAGTAGTCCATTTACTGAATCAGATTCCAATAAGAATTAAATGAGTCAGTCAGCTGACACTGACCAAGTGTTTAATTTAGAAATAAGGTAAACTAAAGGAGCTGATCCTAGTTAAACAATTGCTTACACCTAACACTGCTATTATCACACACAAGCTTAGCTAAATTACTAGATTAATGAAAATGTTCATGGATCAACCTTCTGGTATCAATTTACGCGGCTGCATAATATTGCGGGAAACCAGTATATACGGATACTTATAGGACAATCTCAAGTGTTCTGATACAAATCTCATCACATCACATGATTATTGGGTGGAGGTGTAATTAACTAAATAAAGCTACATTAACAGCCAAAAGCCAATAATAATGTTGAATTTATACATAATTCGTAATAAGAATTAAACTGAACGAAACTAGACTAAAGCAAAACCCAAAAAAATCCTATTATGCGTGACATTACATGGTTTCAAAGAAAAATACTACGGCAGAATCAGGAACAATCTTACCAAAATTTAGGGAGAAAGAAAGAATATCCACAGTCAATAACACATGCACCTATAAAAACAAGCTAAATAAAGTACGATTTACAATATTTAATATTTAAAATACAACTCACAGGACGAGAAAGATGGAAAAGACGGACCGAGAATGGCGGAGGTTCACAACTTATCACAAGACCAATGATAGAAATGAAGTCAGCTGACCTAAGTCTATGCCTCATTGTCTATTCCATACACTTCATCGATTTTCAGTCTCGCCTCACATTAGTCTTGTCTATAGTATCTCAAAAAACATCACGCAATTTTGACCACTATTTTTACATCGTAGTGGCTATTTTTGTATGAAATAAAAATAGCGATCTGTCTGTGTTACCATATAATCTTTATCTATTTATGGTTTACGGAAGAATAAAATAAAACTAACAAGGAGTTGACTTCAGCGATAGGTCCTCTCCCTACGACATTCACATAGGTGATGAGCCTCAGTTTCACTCAGTAGTATTACTGAATAAAAAAGGATGTTACATGATGCCTGCCTACTCTTTCGAGGATTAAAAGGTGTGACATTCTGTTATCTTAAAGAAAATGCCCCCGGTGATTCAAGTAATTATTCATTCACACATTAATTCCATATAAAAAACCTCGATCTACAAGTAATAAAATTTTAAATTTAGGTCCTTTTAAATTTAGGTCCCTATTAATTATTAAAAAAATATTCGCTTTCAAGATACATAGGTAAAGGGCATTAAATTAATGTTAAATGTAAGGATAAGTAAAGGGTTGATAATTTATTTAATTGTAAAAACCTTTACTCTCTTCAAATAATAAGGTTCAAACTTGGTCCAAACACAGACGTCTAAAAGATGTTTGTGAGTCTAAAGCATAGCTAAGCTAAATTCAAGACGACACGGTTGGTCGCTTACTAACGCCATACTTACGCCCACGCCCATTCTCGCATTGCGCGTCGTATCGTCGTCATCATATCTTTTTATTATTTAGACCTGGCAATACCAATAACCTTGTTTTCACTCGTTACAAACACATTGACTGACATCTTGTCAAATCGACGGGAAAATAACGCATGCGTTTTTTGCGAAGACAACCGCATCCTTTGTTTTCTAGTTTTCTGTTTTAAAACATATTTCGCAAATTTTCAAGTCGTGAAGGACTTGATTGACAAAATATAACATACTTTATAATTAGTGTAAAACACAAGCATATTCCAGTATTATCGTAGGCATTACAAACTTATTTCGTTGACAAATTAAATGTACGTTGACTTATGGACGCGCAATAATGGGGCGACTATTGTGATTATACTTACGAAGTCTCTTTTTTGCAGGAATAATAAAGATATTCAACTGAGTAAATCATTATCGTGGCTGTTACGGCACGGAGCAGCGAAAGAAGGTTTTAAATTGAGGTTTGTTGCGTGGTATTTTATAAATCTCGAAGTGTACACACAGTTGTAAGTAGACATAAATACAAACATTGAATGTCACTGTAGAGTTGATACGCGACACAACGGTCGCATCTCAAATTGGTTACGTCAATTATGCTGTGTTTGCATTATATTATTGCCCCATATAGAACATCTATTGTTAACACGGTTCGACTAATATCACTCACGCTGCAGTATGAGCAAGTATTAACAATCGAGTAGGCCATGGTGGCGGTGTGACATGGTTTTAACACAAGTTCTTGCCTTTGCTCAGATCAGACAGCTGTTCTAACTCAGTGCTAATATACCAAATGTAGTGTTCCAGGCCTCTGTTAATAGTTGTAGGTACTTGGTTGATCTTACATTGTTGACAAATATGACATGAGAGTAACATGTTTGCACATTTGAATACTAATCAAATAGATATTTAACATTTAATTGTTTAAGCATTTCATGTAATCTTCTTAACTGGTGCTTTTTCTATAGCTCTTATTTCATCTATTAAAAGCACTGTTGTTTCAGCCCTGAAGGATATTTAGAAGTAAACAAAATATTACAACATAAAACATTTAGAGGCAAATACAACACATCTGACATTGAAAGAGTTGTTAATAATAATGATAAGCAGAGGTTTAAACTGCGAAGGAACCTATCTACTGACTGTCTAGAGATCAAAGCCAACCAAGGACACAGTATTAGTGAAGTTACTGATGCTGAACTTACACCTGTCACTGAGGTTCTCATTTATATATTACTAGTTGACTTGTTGTGGCTTCACTGCATGGAATTTATAAAATTTGTCTTTAGTAAGTTCTCATCTTAGGATAAACAGTAGCCAATATTTCATTTGTAATAAGAATAAGTTAATTTAGGGAAAACTATGTCTCTCTTCTGTAGGATACACGGACCAAAATATACCTCCTAATAAGTAATTGAACAAATACCCACTAATATTTTATATTTCATTTTTTCAGCCCAAATACAACAGTGTGATTCATGGCACATATTTAAAATGCTGGCCAGCAATAAAAAATGAAGGGTTAAGTCGTATGAAGCGGAAGCACATACATTTAGCAAAAGGAACATTAGATGATGCTTCCGTGATCAGTGGGCTACGACGGGACACTGAAGTCCACATATACATAGATCTCTCTCGGGCGCTTGCAGATGGTATTAAATTCTTTGAGTCAGAAAATGGTGTCATCCTAACCAGCGGTAACAAGAACAGATATTTGGAATCTAAATACTTTGAAAAAGCTATAAATATTCGAACTGGTAAGTGTTACAGCAATTTTATTTTCTTTATTTCACTTCAAATAATGAAATATAGAAATATGCGCAGGTAATTTTTTTGGTTTAGTAGACATCGATTATCTTCTACTATTTATGACATTTTCGCCATCAGTCTTACCTTAAAATATCATGTTGAAAATTAAACAGTTTTATGTAGTTTGTCCCATATGTTTGGGCAATTTAGTAATTAAAATTGGTAACAGATCAATCTGAGTTTTGGTAGACTTTAATCTTGATGACCAAACAAAATTATTGTCTAATTTTTGATACAACTGAATGGGGCTCATTATTGATATGAAATGAAAAGACTTGATTGGTATTTGGTGGAGGTAGAGTTCATTTAATACATGTTTCACATAAAAAATATATTTTATATCTAACTTATTCATTGCTGCAGTGAAGCAATCTACTGATACTATCTAATTTCTGTTTCCAGTTACTTATAGATCTCCAAATAGCTTTGTTAACATTCATACTAAAATATTTGTTGATAATTAATTGTTGATTTAGTTATCAATAATGATTTAATAACTTATAAGTATTTATTTAAATAATTGAACTTATTTAATGCATACACATGAATGCATTGTTATCATTAGATAATATTGTTTACAATACTTAGGTTTCTTAAAATTTTAGTCATTAATATTGCTCTTTGCTGTCACCTCATATTCAGGTTTTGATTACTGTTCCATTATTTGTAAAAACAATATTTCACAGTTCTATGTAAGTAAAAAACCACTACCTGAACCCAGCTAGGCTTACATTTTGTAATATTTTAAACAAGCTTTTATTTTGCTTTGACAATTTTTTGTCAATACTTTATTATTTATTTTGTGCCCTTTTTTTCTAATGTATTCGTTATATATGATAGTATTTACATCTGAAACTAAGCGTGCAATGGTTAATTCCAGGTAAGCCCCTGTACCCATGAGCCATGGACAGAGCCGGGCAAGTGTCCACTCCGACGGCGTCAGTATCGACGGGCGCGGCCCCGCGGCCCGGGGCGCGCCGGCGCCCGCCCGGGCCTGAGATGCCCGACGCCCACCCTCATACACCCGCCTCGCGCAGGGTTCTCGTCTCTGGTAAGTAACTAAAGGAATCTTACACCGTCATTTCGTTTATACCTATTAATCAACTATAAAATATGGCTCACTATTACAGGTTATTCGAACTACACGCAGCCGCAAGATTTACTTGACATTTTTACAAAATTTGGTAATGTGAGAATAGATAAATACAACAGTTGGTCTGCCACTCTCACATACTCCAATGAAGACGAAGTCAGAGCAGCTTTAAGTGCGAACAAGCGACTCCACGTGTACGGACACTTCTTGTCAGTGAAGCCCTACTCCACAAAGTCGTCGTCCGAGGACAGTCGACCGCCACATCAACCGCCCACGCCGAAGCGCGAGTTTCCGCTTAGCAAAAAGAAAGGTACTTGTAATGTTTTCTCTAACAGAATCACAAGTGTATAATAATCATAACAATCTATGTGATTGTTTTTTAGGTAGGAGTGGTAAGCTTTGACAATGGCGAATAACGAATTATTGGATATATTAAGAAGCAAAATTCAATTTTTATTGTATTCCATAGGTGTCATATTGGAGCCCAAAAAGATCGATCTGACGGGTGACTTCCACACACAGCTGGACAACATCCTATTTGCAGTGAGACTCAAGATGGAAGAAGTGCAGTCTCTCAGCTTATTGTATTCTGACCTCGAGTTAGCACTGCAAGCACACTGGCCAGGTTATTGAATTATATTTTCTCTTTGTTATTTATAAAATATACAGTGTAGTTTTGTTGAGAGATAAAAATATTGTTCTAATATTATGTTCACATCTAACTTGTTTTACTAATTGTAAATATGTTTTCGATCAGGTTGCAAAGCAATACCATTCGGTTCTATAACGACCGGACTGGGCATCAAAACGAGCGACGCGGACTGCTTCATAAACATCCCGGGCCAGTACCGCATGCCCACCGGCAACTACGTGAACAAAGCCAAGCGAGTGCTGCAGCAGTACCCCGGCACCTTCGCCGAGATCCTCGCCATCCCCCGCGCCAACACGCCCATCGTGAAGCTGTACCACATCCCCACGCAGACCAACTGCGACGTGACGTTCAAGTCCCCGCTGGGCGCGCAGAACTCGCGGCTCCTGGCGCTCCTGCTGCACGCCGACGCGCGCCTGCTGCCGCTGGCCGTGCTGCTGAAGTACTGGGCCAAGGCGCACGAGCTGACGGGCACGGGCAAGCTCACCAACTACGCGCTGACGCTGATGCTGGTGTTCTTCCTGCAGCAGACGCCGGCCGTGCTGCCCGCCGTCGCCTGGCTCCAGCGCGAGCCGCGCCACGCCTACATGGTGGACCACTGGAACACCGGCTTCAACGCCGACCCCGCGCAGTTCCCCCCCAGCGCCAATACTTCCTCCATCTCCGAGCTTCTCGGTGGCTTCTTCGAGTATTACTCCATTTTCAATTTCGACGAAATGGTCGTTTGCCCGTATCTCGGCTTTCCCATCAAAAGAGAAATATTCAAAGACACGGCCACTGTACCGAAAGAATTCGACCTCTACAAGAACAACGTGTTGAACAACTACGTCATGCCGATGAGGTATCAGACCGCGATGGTTGTGCAGGATCCTTTCGAACAATGCCATAACGTTGCTTCCACGATCACCAGTAAATTAGCTCTGGATATCAAGACTTACTTCAAATTTTGTGCTAACGCATACGAAAAGGAGAAAACGAATGCATGTCAAGATTTCCTTAAAATTATTCTATTGCAGAAACCTAAACTGATTCGTGGAAAAACTCATCCTGAATACAGAGTAAACTTGTTCCCTAGAATAGTAAATACCATAATTAGCTTCGACTGGAAGTCGGTAGTCAGAGACATGGTGATGGAGATATTTGAGAACATGTTAAAGATCAAGCTCGGCAAGGTCGAGGAGAAGGTGAACCCCGATACTAAGAAAGAAAAGGAGAAGTATAGCGGTGCAATTACTAAACCCATATGGAAGAGGAAGTCTTTCTCCAGGCTCTACAACCAAATGGATTTGACATTAGAGGAGAGACAAGGAAGGATCACTCAAGAAGTGATTAATGTAGAAAAGCAGGACGTTAATGTTCAGTTCCAGTTGACCATGACTTACTGTCATGAGCCAAAAAGCGCCGTCATCTCTATAAGGCTCGGGTCTGGGGATCTCGACGCATTCAGAGAATTTGGCAAGTTCTTTATATCAGTGACGCAGAATTGGGTAACGGAGTTATTGAAACCTTTCTCGATGCCCAATTGCAAGGACACTGCTACTAAAATAGCTGAAACCTTAGAAGCCAATAACCATACTAGTGAAATTGATTCCGATGACGATGAGGAAGAAATCGTGCTTCTGCCGAAATCACATCGAACTACTAAACCTAACGGGCCAGACGCCACAGACACAACTAGTAGCACAGCTGTATCATCGCCACAATCGAGATCACGGGCGCAAAGTGCCATGGAGATATTAACAGACAGAACCAAAAATTGTCTGATAATTAAAGCCGACCCTCAAAGTAACGAACCTTTAAAAAATAATAGTAATGAAACTACACCAAGTAGCACAACAGAAGTGGTCAGTAACAATACAGACAATCCCTCTATCAAAGGGGCAGATAAGTTTTTGCCGAATAGCACAGAAAATTCGACTATAAATACAGAAAATTGTGATAAAAAAGACGTAACTTTGACAAAAAATGTAGAAAATTTCTTTAAAAACGCCGAAAGTTTGGTAACAAGCGAGGCGGGCGCCAGCAACAAGGCCACGCCCGCGCCGGTAGCCACCAGCAGTGACGTGAGCATCGCCTGCGCGCTAAAGTGACACAGAGACTATGTTCTGTTTTGAGACGTTAAGCTTTTATTAACTTAGTGTAAAAATCGTTCTATCAATAGACATAGTGAATACAAATTTATTTTAATATTAAGCTAAGTCACTTACGATTTATTTTTATGCGGTTTGTAGAAATTTTAATTTCAACTAAAATTGTTGTTTAATTTTTCCCTCGTATTGAAAATATGACTCCTAACCAAGTATAACGATAAGGTTGGTGCCATGGTTAGGGTTGAATACTTCAAGGAAGGAATACTTCTGCATGATCCACATTTTGAATTTTTCCAAATTGATCTCTTACCGTAGTGATAGAATTATTTCTATGGTTCACAGTTCATCTATTATTTTAAATCCTTGACCAAAATAAAATTTCAAGTGTGAACGAGATTTTGGCATTTCTTTTCCTACGGATTCCTACCTACAATCTAGTGGCACCTACCCAATTTTTTTCATGTAGGTATAGACAAAGTACATTACTCTATGGATCGGACACAGACACACCAATTTTGACAAGATTAGTGACTGACAAATGACAGCTAACTAACTGACAAATGGAATGAAAATAAACACGTTGAAATCTTGAGAATTTATTCCTAATCGAGGGATAATTCGGGTCGCATAATATTATTTAGTGAAAACTGCTACTCATATACAACATGAATTGGGAAGGTAAATATAGCCATAGGACCTATTACACTGACTATTTTTAATTTATTTGATATTGATTTGAAAATGTAGTGTACCTACCATTATCAATCAACGTTTTTCTCTTTTAAATTACTTTACTATATCAAATAGTTCTGGTAAAATGTGCTTGCGATAATGAAATAAATGTTTTTGAACTCTACCTGCAACAAACTCAAATAATAATCACAGATTTGAATTCCCTTATATCAAATATATCACGTAGTTAAACAAAATAATTTTACCATAAATTCCTTCTAATGTGTACTTCGTCTTGTCATATATATCCCTTTGAACATAACTGTAGACAGTTAAAAAAGGAATGTTTTTTACTCCTTTGTTTTTAAATATCGACGATAGTCATGATGTTATTTTTGTTTATCAAACATAGTAAAATAAAAAAATGTATGCCCAAATACTGATTTCTACGGCTACCCAATTTTAAGTTGTACTTAAATATTGTACTGAAATATTGTAACGACTGCCTCGTTGGCCGAGTGGTCGCAAGTGCGACTGCCAAGGCATAGGCAAGGGGTTTTGGGTTCGATTACAAGGTTGGGCAAAGTATTACTGGGTTTAAAAAAATCTCAGTAGCAGCACGGAGTCTGGAAATGTGCCCGGAATATGGCAATAGGCTCACCCCCTATTACATGGGACTCATAACATAAATAGTGAAAAGTGGGTCATACTTCTGTGTGCACCTCTGCATACCGCTTCGGGGATAAAATGTGTGATGTTATGAGTGAATAAATATACCGTATTTCTCATTTTACAAAGAATTTGTAGTGACTGATCTATACATGAGCGTGACTTAAAAATGAGTAGTCTTTCAGTATTAGGCTTAGATTAATAACGCTGTTAATTTGAAACAATTAGGTTCTATGCTTGACAAACCAGATCCTTAATACAATGTATGTTAACAGTGAACAATTGTTGTATGAATGTTATCTGAAATAACATTCAGACATTTCAACTTAAGCTGGTAATTTCCTTGACCTTGACCCTGGTCTGTGTTGGTGAATTTTTTTTGTGATGTTACATCTTCACATAGTGAGAATAAAATGATTGTGCTCCAATTTTAACAAATATTATACACATGATTATAGTAATTTAATATGCTTCAGCATCTTATAATTACAATTCGTGATAACTTTACTATTGGAAACAGTTTCTAATTATATAGCACACAAACATTCAATCAATATGTTGGTTTAGAGACTTTAACTTTTAATAATTCCTCTCTTACTTGATTCCACTTTATTTTATAGATGATGACATAATGGATACATCAAATCTACAGTTTGTTGGTGATTTTGATTTACAAGTGCAAGAAATTTTGTCATATGTGAGACTGACTGCGGAGAGAGTACATAGTCTGAAACTTTTGTTTGATGACTTAGAATTTGCACTGCAGCAATTGGCGCCTGGTACAGTATCCATATAATTAAATTTTCTCAACTGGTTTTAACAATACAATGATATTACACCATTTACTCGGTACCAACTTTACCGTAAGAGCACTCGGAGCCTGTGCGGCCAGGGAGTCCTTAGGAGGCACCTAAGGGTTCGATTCCCGCCCGGAGCTGATCTATTTGCTAATCTTTGTATGTTTGTAAATGCACACACGAAAACATTCTAGTGCGGGGCAACGGTAAAAAAAGGGAAACATTCCAAAAGGCCCCGAATTATTATGTCCTCAGGGCGTAGTCTTAGATGGCCCTGCATTTACTATGTAACAAGTTGGGTTAATACAAAATGTGAATACTTTGTGTGATCTAGAATTCCAAACCTAGAAAAGAAAGAAAGAAAAAACATTTATTCAGCACCAGGCTTGATGCAGCATAAGTAAAGATAACAAAAACTATCATAGATAGTGTGGCAGTGAAAGTATTTTACTTTGGGTGAAACTGGGTAAAACTAAAGGATCAGAAAAGAAACATGCTAACAACATGCCTATGCTAAATGGTACACACATGTGCGTTACCCTAGCCTAGTTGTCTAGATGAAGTAAATGTTTTGCCTTATTTTGTATTTGTACTTTCATCGGTTGCGAAGTTATTCGAGATTCTGCTGGGGTAACGTTTTTGGTTTTGGTAGATCTTTGAAATAGTTAAGCGGATTCTTATCATATTTTGTATATGGCTTCTTAGGAATTAGTTTAAATTTGTTCTGCAATAAAACAACAACACACTTCAATTGGTCCCAGCTCTCTCAATAAGAGTTCTAAAGACTACCCCAGCAGAATCTCGAATAACTTCGCAACCGATGAAAGAACAAATACAAAATAAGGCACAACATTTACATCATGTAAACAACTAATTTCATAGCTAGCAATTATTTAAATATTCCCATTAGAAAGAAAAAACATGGCCGGGGTAACGTTACCCCAGCAGGAAATGTTTTTGTGAAATAATTAAAAAACAATAAGCGCAACAAAAAAAATGTGCGCAACAATTACAGAAGCTGTCATATATATGGTCATTCACCATTTTCGACAACATCTGGCCTAGGTAACGCACACGTTACACACACAGTGTAAGCTAGGCATACAAGTCACGAGCCGCGGAAGACTTAACGGGTTGCCGGGGCTCCGGCTCGAAGTGCAGGAGTAGGAACGGGGTGGTTTTTAGTCAGTAAGAGTCTGACACGCCCTCCCGCCTCACCCGGGCAGGAGAAGTCATTGGATGATTTTTCCCCCTCAAAAAAAAAGGCATACAAGTCACCTGGCCGTAATTTTTAGGGGGCAACCTTGTAGTGACGCACGGACTATCTTACCAAAAATTATCCTTTAGTACCTAATTGCAGTCTAAATATGAATGTGATTTTTTTTCAGGTTGCCAAATAGAACCATTTGGCTCTGTGGTGACTGGGCTCGGGATAAAGTCAAGTGACGTGGACTGTTACGTGGCGCTGCCGCCAGGCGAGCTGCCCAGTCCTGAGCATGTCGTCCGCGCTAGGAGGATACTCGGCCGGTACAACACTAAGTTCACTCGGCTACTAGCAATCACAAATGCCAAAGTTCCCATAGTCAAGTTTCTCCACATCCCTACTCAGTGTCATTGTGATGTCAATTTCAAAAGTCCTGCCGGAGTGCGCAATAGCAAACTACTCGCTTTCCTACTGCACTGGGACAGACGAGCCCTTCCCTTAGCCATTCTGATCAAATACTGGGCTAAACTAAACAATTTTATAGGCACCAATCGGATGGGCAATTACGCGTTAATGATGATGGTGGTATTTTATTTGCAATTGAAGAACATTCTGCCCGCTGTGTATCGGCTGCAGGCCAACGTGCCGTCCTACATGGTGGACGGCTGGAACACTGCCTTCGACGAAAGTATGCGCGGCGACGGCACCAACACTGAGTCATTGTACCACCTGATGGGCGACTTCTTCAAATGCCTTAGCACATTCAACTTTGCTGAATTTGTAATTTCACCGTATTTAGGGCGCGCGATCCCTAAGAAATGTTTCGAAAATTTTGATCTTCCGGACGAGTTCCATTTATACAAGCAACATGTTACAGTGGATGTCCGTAAAAAAATAAATATAAAAACCAAAGTTTGCGTTCAAGACCCCTTCGACCACGCAAGGAACTGTACTGTTGGCGTCTACGAAAGGCTGGTGGACAAAATATTGTTTCACTTTAATTTCGCGGCGCATAAGTTTAGCGAACAGCCAAGTCACAATTTTCTAAAAGTTATATTGACGCAAGATCCAAACAGTCGGCCAATTAGCAAGGCGTTACCGCCGCATCTACTTAAACATAATAAAATACAAAAAGCAAACAAAACGAAACAGAAGCAAAAAGGGCTGCGAACTGGTTTATCGATGCTCGCAAACAATCGCTCAGCAATCACTGTGTTGACGAAAGGAGACATATCAACAAAGTAAGTCAGTCATCGCGTCTGAGTATAATGTTGTCGATACCTATTGTGTACCTGCGTTACTGCGCGTGCGTAGCTAAGTGAGAGAGACCGCGACAGACTGTGCGCTGCATAATATTATGTGTAACATATGCCTGTTGACGCATACTAAATACTGTTTTAAGTAGAATATTTTTATTAGAAGATATATATTATGTACATAAATATTTAAAATAGAAAAACAGAAAAAAGTGAAAAGAAAAGACTTCGGAGTTTGGATAAATACTTAAATATTATACTTAGATATATTTGTATTGGTGGGTACGTATATCCATTAGTATTTTTCCCAATCTTGATGTGACATTTTAATACCAATGAAAGTAACAAACATGAAAAATAAGCTTAAAGCATCTTATTGTGTAGACACAGTACTACTGTTAGTTATGGTATCAACTACACAATAAGAATTTGAAATATTCATTATTAATATGACACATGACTTGTAAAAAATTCACAATGTACACACAGATAAAATAATCATTGATCAGTGAACTTACTTGTAAAAAGGCCTATTAAAGTTGATATTTAAAATGTAATTAGGTTAGTATGTTTTATAATTATGTAAGTAGTTACTGATTTTGTCGAAAAGTCATCACATTTATGGTTCTTCCGTGGACATAGTATTATTGTAATTTCTCAGGGGTTGTTCAAATTATTTTAGTAGTTTAACATATTTTAGTGTACCTATAAAGTTCAGGTTTTTGCCAATTTTTGGTAAAATAAGTTGTTTAGGTAGTTACATCTTTTCGGCCTTACATTTTTTTTTACTTGTATCGAATGTGAAATAAAATATTGGCACATAATAGTGTACAAACTTGTATAATATAAACACAAGATCTTGCAGGTGTTAGGTCAAGCAATGAAATTCAACTTTCTTTTTTAGATTCAAAAGAAAAAGTAGATAAAATGATTCGCGAATCACTACAATTTTTACGAAAAATGAAACTTTTCCTTTTCATTTAAAGTATATACTTATCACGACCTGACCCAGCATCTCCAAGATGTTGCCTACATCTTCTTACCCCTTGTATTAGGTAGGTAGCTAGCTATTCTAGTCTTCCACCATTATTGTAAGTATATACTACTTACTAATACAATTTCTTTATATTGTAATTCTCGTGAGACATATTAAACTTAATTACATTTGTTTACCGACTTACTCACATTATTGTTTGGCGAGGTAAGGAGTCATCCAAATTAGTTTACATGAATTTCATGATTTTTTGCCCCTCCCCCCGTCCTTATCACAGCTAGTCACATTCGTAAGACTCCTCCCCTCTAGAGTTACGTCATTTATCATCGTCGTCATACGCATAGAAATTATTGAATGAAAACAGCGATTCCAAAATTTATTTCGCGCGTAACACTAGTACTGCGAGTGGTTGACAAAATGTGACGACACTAAGTTTAGGATCCCTCCCACCCCATCGTCACACAATGTCAAAAGACTGCCTTCCTCCCCGTCAACGCGTGACGTTATTTATGGATGGCCCCTAACTCGACTAATTTCAAGCGACGCTAGGGGCTCATAGTCAGCTGAGTGAGTTAATGCGACGTTCGCTGCGTCATATGTCGCGCAATGATTGGAACAAACTCGTACTATCTGTTTACGACGTCTTCATTTACTGTACCTACGTACTGTGACAGGTTCCACGTAAAGCGCCGCAAAAACTTTCTCCTAGTATGAAGCCCAGCCCAGCGAAAGGCAATAAATTGATTCACTGAGAGCGAATACTATTTCAAATAACAGGTCCATAATACATTATTCAATAAACTAAATAATACACGTTTAGACTGTCCTTATTATATTTCATAAACCAATATTAACTAATTAACAATATAGGTAGTGAGGTGCAATAATAAAATTATATGCCCAAAGCCCGTCGGTCAACCTACTCAGATCTTTATTTAAATTTTCGACTTTATATCGAAACAATAAAGTTGAAATTTGAATAAAGAAAAACAAATGTGTAAGTTAACCTGGCATCTGTACAATCTTCAAAATACAAATACCTCGTAGTGTGTATTATACGACTCGTATCACAACGCTAGTTTATTCATTCTACTATCAATACTACTGATACTACTTAATTAAAAGTGTGTGTTAGTAAAATGCACCGTTTTGTTCTTCACCAGCCACATGGAATCGATCACTCGTCCGTGGAGGTCTACGGACACCTGCAAACATAATCAATTTTATTGCAAAACAATTAAGTTTACTATACAAGTTTATCGTAGTTGATGGTGAATTTTGAGTCGGTTAATCCGTTTAAAAAGTTGTATAGTACTTTTCCTGACTTGCAATGACTAGAAACCAGGCTCTTTCTTTACTGTCATTGTCAAAAATCATTGTGTGCGTTACCCAGCCCAGATGTTGTCGAAAATGGTAATTTGAATCTTATAGATAATTAGTTGTGTGGCTTCTGTAATTGTTGCGCACATTTTTAAATTTATTGGGGTTATAGTTTTTTAATGATTTCACAAAAACATTTCCTGCTGGGGTAACGTTACCCCAGCCAGACCTTTTCCTTTCTAATGGGAATATTTAAATAATTACTAGCTATACAATTAGTTGTCTAGGTGAAGTAAATGTTGTGCCTAATTTTGTGTTTGTTCTTTCATCGGTTGCGAAGTTATTAATAATTAATTTTTAATTATTAATAATTAATAATATAATATAGTTAAATATTTCCACTATAAAGAAAAACGTCTGGCTGGGGTAACGTTACCCCAGCAGGAAATGTTTTTGTGAAATAAATAAAAAACTATAACCCCAATAAATTTAAAAATGTGCGCAACAATTACAGAACCCGCACAACCAATTATGTATAAGATTCAAATGGCCATTTTCGACAACATCTGGCCTGGGTAACGCACACAAAATCATTTATTTCAATTAGACCAGGAAGGCACTATTGAACGTCAACAAAATTTTTTAAGTGAAGCTATTTGCACATTCCAAGGTGGAGATTTCTATGGAGGAGAACGAGCAAGGAATTCCCTAGGTTACTCTTTTTCAATCAGATTCACAATACAGTTTTTAGTTACACAGTCTTGTTACACATTTTCTAGTCATAAGATGAGTGTTGATTACCTGCTCCATGTAAATGTGTGTCGTGTTGAACGCCTTGAACTTGGTGTAGCCGAAATCCTGAGATCTGAACGCCGACCACTTAGGCTCATCATCTGTATAGGGAAACAAAAACGTTTTTAATTCCTTAATCTTATTAAAATAAAATATTTTTTTAATATTCCTTATCCAGAATGGAACATTAGAAAATTAGAATCTGTTCTATATATAGTATCCATTTAGAAGTTTAAACTGGTATTGCCAAGACTCCTAGCTAGGCGTATTGTTGGCAACACAATACGCACATTGTTCCCAGCCTTAATATATTTCATTAATTACTTACTCAGGAAGTGATCTCTGCCCTCCTTACAGCCAGCCGAGCCAGTGATGATGTGGACGGGAGCCCTGAAAGTTTACCTTCATATCATACCTACTCATTTATATCGGATAGAACGGCAAACGCACCGACGCATCACACTGGTAACATCAAAACAATTACAAGTGTGTTGCCAGCCTTTTGGTGTTAGAGATTTGAGGATTTCTACAATAGGCGTGTCGACAGGGCAAAAAAATCAAAAAAGTAATTAGTCCGTCATTAAGATCGCACGAAAATATCAGACACGTATTTTTTGTTTTATCAAATTAACAGAAGAATACGTAGTTATTCCGCATTAAAGTTAGGGAGTGGGGGGTGTTGACGTCACACTTACGGAGAAATCGTACCTAATTGTGACGTCACGCGTCATTTTAACTCAAAATATCTACATGTTTTTTTGGATACGAGAAAAAAGAAAAAATACGTATCGAAGATTTTTAAAATATCTAAAAGACGGACAAAAAATTAAAAAATAGTCGCCATGCCTATTCTCGGTAGTCTTCTGAAGATATCAATGAGAGCTAACGTTTTTATCCAATAGAAAACTTCGAGTCAAACCATTTCACAGATTTTTGCTGACAGCTAGAATGACGGAGGACATCGGATCTTGAGCTACATTTCGGCATCTGCTAAGGACAAACGGGTTTGCCTTCATTACGTTGTACCTTCAAAATGACTTCAGTGTTATCACTTAAGGTCGCATTGACCCGTTGGATGCAAATCGCTTCTAATCGGATGTCTTGTGACTGGTGTGATAATCCAATTAAAATGAAACAAAAGTTGTACATGGAATATTTATTTAATTAATTAATTCTATATGAAATATGATAAAAAATATTTTACAATTCATAAAATTACTATCATAAGTCGATTATATTATGAATACAAAACTAAAAGGGATAACAGAGCATTCTACACCTCTACTTTTTCATAATTTCTAAACACTAAAACTATTCATAATTGTATTCAAAACGTAATTTATTTGTACGAACAAAACACTTGTACAAACATACACAAGACATGATGTAAATATAACAATTTTGGAAAATGTTCTGTAAAAAATATCACATTAGTATTAATACTAAAAGTTCATAATAAATGAGATTATTAATACTTCAATGTATTCATACATACATACATCAAACATTCAAATCACAGTCACATTGAGAAATAAAACCTCCTTAGAAAAGTTTAATGATATGGTCATCCCTAGCTCTATTTATTCTAGCCTCATTTAGATCACCAATGAACTAACATAGCTATAGTATTTAATTGATGTCAAACTAGAGTAATTGTATTTTTATTGTTTAATGTTTGATGTTGTAAGGTTTGTGCTGATTCTTGACGAGCCAGAACGAGTCGATTACTTTGCCCTTCAGATCCACGTCCACCTAGAAACATAATATTATTGTATAAGGACTTATTGTATATTGACAAGTCTGACAAATTTTCGACTTTTTTCGTAACACATAAGATACAGAGCTATAATAGACTTTAGGAAGGGACAGGTAGTCTATGAAAATGTACATTCAAAGAAAATAGTCAACAGCTGTGAGATAAAGTGACCCTATTAATATTTCCAATTTTATTTCTGAGGTAAATACTGCCAACCGCTTATATTATAGACAGAGATGTACACATTCGATGTAACACCCACTTCAGTTACGTCCATAACATCCCGCCGTTTATCCCCGAAGAGAGTTAAAAAGAGAGTTGAAAACTGTTAAGTGCCGTAATGTGCAGAGGTGCACATTACGGCACTTAACAGTTTTCAGTATGTTATGAGTCTCATGTAATAGGGGGTGAGCCTATTGCCATATACAGGGCATAAGTCCAAACTCCGAGCTACTACCGAGTTTCTTTTAAAAGCCCCAGTAATAGTTTGCCATTCGGCCAACGAGAAAGTCAAATTATAAGTGCTATAAAGATAAAAGGTACCTATGTTTAATCTCAACACTTATATAACAAAGAACGGTGTAGATGACCAGCACTGACCTGCTCCATGTAGACGTGCGTCTTGTTGTGCGCGACGAGGCGCGTGTACCCGTAGTCACTGCTGCGGAACGCGGACCACGACATCGGGTCCGCTGCGAGATACATCAACACATTATTTACAATTCTACCAAGTTCTTACATACATTTACATAATATACTCATTTATTTGAGTTTATGTGAATGCTGTTTGCTTCTATGTCTACATGTAAGCTAACTTGTGTATGCAAAAAAAAAACTCGATTTCTTTTGGCTTCCCAAAGGTATTGTGACTTTGTAGTTACTGAGTCTTATGACCGTTTTCACCAACGAACCTTAAACCATATCTTAACTAAGAGTTACTTGCGTGAGGGATCACCAAAAGTAGTCTTATTTAACTGTGTACTTACGTCTAAAGGGATCAGTAGCCTCCTGGCAACCAGCCGACCCAGTAATGATGTGCACTGGAGCTCTGGAAGTAAAGACAGGTATGTCTAGTTTACTGCTATTATATTATCGATCAAAGAAGTTCACAATACTATGTTATTATAGAACATACAGATTTCTTAGAATATCGAATTAAACTGAGTTATTATAGAAATACTGGGAAATTAATTATTTGGCTAACCTGAGAATAACATAATGGGGTAGACGACTAATTTTTATTTTAATGTCCATCTGGTAGATTATTTAAAAACATTAGACACGTATTTTTTATTTTCTTACGGAAACGAATAGTTTCGAAGATATATTGATTTGAAATGTCGCGTGACGTCACTTCTCAGTACATTTTATACTAAGAAATGACGTTTTAGCCCCCACTCCTAAACTTTGATTCGTTTTATCTAAGTATTGTTTTATTATACACCAAAATAAAAAAATACGTGTCTAATATTTTTTTATTACCTAAGTTACGGACTAATTATATTTTTAATTTTCATACCCTGTCATCATCCCCATTATATTTAGATTAGTGAGTCAGACGTCAAGCCATAAGCATATAAATATTCGGTTAATAACTAGCCCATGCAAATAAGTCACAGAAAACTATTATAAAACATAAGTAATATGTGTTGTAAATAAATTATGTTGGTTAATATAAGAAGCCGGTATTTACCTTCACAATTTTGATACGAACAAACATATAATTTTTCACACGGCACTCGGTCAAAAAGTTATTTGTATTAATGTAAAATTACATAGATAAATACATATAATTTACACACGCCAGTCACCAAGACCACTATAAGTTATGTGTCATCCTATAAAGCAAATTTCTTAAAATAAAAATAAAACAGAACTTGTCTAATTTTAGATCATATGGAGAAATACCCCTTCCACCTTTAAAGTCGGTTAAAAATAAGTGCAAAAAACATATGAATTTGAAAGTCCCGAACCTCTGTCGAGCTGTCCTCGTTCGGAATTGAGACACAGATTCCAAGTGGTGTGAGATCACTTACCCAGGGTTAACATAGGGCTTGTCATAGGATCCGTTGTAGACCTTGTTGTCATAGAGCGGCCAGGTCCGCTCGTACGAGTGCTCGTGCGCCCAGATCACCAGGTCCACTCCGAACTCCATCAGGAGGGGCTCCAGGCCTGCAGTGCCATATGTACAATTGGAGATCATTGAATTAAGGGTAACTTGGGATATAAGGCCAGTTTCACAGATAGCAGTAAAAGTTATATACCTAATTTATTAATTTAGGAATCAAAAGTGAAGAAAAATAAGATTTGCTATCCGATCTATAAACAAATAACATAAGGAATATTTTTAATGGAAGATTTGTATCATACATGCATAGACAAGCATAGAGGTGCTGTGTACATGCACATATAAGGAAATAGTTTCGTGTACAAGACTTTATCTATCTCACCATAGACGCCGAGCAGTCCAGTCCTCGTATACTCGCAGCTGCAGTCGATGTCGTTGGACTCGCTGCAGTACATGGGCCGGTGCCCCATCACCACCAGCCACGGCCGACGCCGTCTGCAACATTCGTGCGCGGCTCGTGACGTGGGTGGGAAGGGAAGGCTGACCGTCATGGTCGCAATTCGTACAGTACATCGTCATATGACCTATTATTATCAGCCAAGATCTCTGTCTTTTACAAACAAATAGTAGTGATAGAAATGTTTTGAGCGCGTCTTACAATCGAGTGGCGTTGTCTATTTGAACATAATAGAGATAAAGCCGATTGTCACCTGTTCTCCGGTAGATTGGCCTTCGCAAGATCCTCCCTGAGCCAATTGTACTGGTTGACGATGAGCTTCAGTCCGTAGTGTGTGAAGTAATATACTTCAGTAGAGATGGACACAAAGTGCACTGGGCCCAGGTCGAAGCTGTAGAACAGAGTCGAGTCCGGGCCGGGCATCGTGAAGCGAGCTCCGTAGTTACTGAAGTTGCTGCGGATTTTAGAGATACATGTCGTATTAAATTATTATTATTGTCTTACTGTATACAGTTACAGTGCTTATGTTGTAATTGATGTACGAAACGTATGAGTTTTAATGAACATTTTTGAGTGTTGATTTGACTAATGACAGTGTTGTTAGCCGACTTGACCGGATTGATCGACAGCCGAGTTGACAGAGTAAAAATGGTTGACCGAATTGACCATGTTATCCTGGCCAGGCTGCTAAGCTTACTTGACTGAGTTTATAGGATTGACAGAGTGACTGACTGACAGAACTAGATCATGTGCACATGTACTCTGCAGAGTATCCGGATAAAATCGTATCGTACTTTTTATATGTGATAAAGCGGCATTCGATCGATCTAATCCCCTAATGGTAAGCAATCAGGCCACATCCGCAAGTCCACAACACCAGAGGTGTTGAGTGAGTTGAGTTGAATCACAAGTATGGCGTCAACCTTTTAGGAATTTGGGGGTAGGAAATTTGGGATTGGTAATCTCATTTATACCTTATTATTAGCTACTTCCACGCTGTTTCACCAGCCCTGCTCGGCTCCTATTGATCGTAGCGTGATGTATTATTATAGCCTAAAGCAGTGTGCGTTACCCAGGCCAGATGTTGTCGAAAATGGTCATTTGAATCTTATAGATAATTAGTTGTGCGGCTTCTGTAATTGTTGCGCACATTTTTAAATTTGTTGCGCTTATAGTTTTTTAATTATTTCACAAAAACATTTTCTGCTGAGGTAACGATAGCAGCCAGACCTTTTTCTTTCTAATGGGAATATTTAAATAATTACTAGCTATAAAATTAGTTGTCTAGATGAAGTAAATGTTGTGCCTATTTTGTATTTGTTCTTTCATCGATTGCTGCATCGAATCTATATTTTGGAATGATCACCTAGCTTCACCTAGCTTCACTGACGGACTGACTGACAGACTATTATTTATTTTGTATTTGTTGACGTTTCAAAAGTACCAAACTATGGTTTAATTGAAATAAATGCTTTGACTTTGACACTAATTTAGCTTTTTGAAGCTCTTAGTGAGTGCGCTGGGACCAATTAAAGTGTTTTTCTATTTAATGAAATAACCTTTAAGCTATGTATTTTGGTTTTTTTATTGCACACCAAATTTAAACTAATTCTTAAGAAGCCATGTACAAAATATGATAAGAATCCGCTTAACCATTTCAAAGATCTAGGACTCTCCCCTACTTTTACACAATCCACTTTCATGTAGATCTCGCAAACCCAAAAACGTTACCCCAGCAAAATCTCCAATAACTTCGCAACCGATGAAAGAACAAATACAAAACAAGGCACAACACTAGACAACTAATTTTATAGCTAGTAATTATTTAAATATTCCCATTAGAAAGGAAAAGGTCTGGCTGGGGTAACGTTACTCCAGCAGGATATATTTTTGTGAAATAATTAAAAAACTATAAGCGCAACAAATTTAAAAATGTGCGCAACAATTACAGAAGCCGCACAACTAATTATCTATAAGATTCAAATGACCATTTTCGACAACATCTGGCCTGGGTAACGCACACCCTTAAGCATTTCTCGATAATTGGACTATCCAACACAAAAATATTTTTTCAAATCGAACCTGTTCCTGAGATTAGCGCGTTCACACAAACAAACAAAATCTACAGCGTTATATCCATAAGTAAGTATAAGATAACATGTAAAGACTTTTAACTTACTATGCCTGTTCGTGGTTTCCAGGGCAGGTCATGTAAGGCACGATGGCGGCCAGTGGCTGTATTTGTCGCATGAACTCGTCTCCGACCAGCGCGTTATTGGAGTCCATGTCGTAAGCGAAGTCTCCCACGTGGAGCACCATGTCGAAGTGATTACGTTGAGCCTCGTCTTGGAGGTAGGATAGAGACTGCAAGTGAGAGTGTACCCAATTTAAAGTTAGGATATAAGTTTTAAAATGTGTTAGTGTGTATACTGCAGTATCAGAATCAGAATCAGAATCAGAATCATTTATTTGTTAAACATAGGTAATTTACATAATAAGGTCTTACATAATATAAAGATAGTCCACTATGTTTTGCCGTGATAGACATACAAATATATTAGGTACATGCATTTGAAACATTATTAGAATATCACAATTTCAGTTAAATTTGTACAATAATAATAAAATAATAAAAATAAGGTATGTCAAAATTATGTCAATTAAAATTATCAAATTTATCAGGAAATACATTAAAACTGTCAAGAAAAACATTGAAATTGTCAAGAAATAAATTAAATTTGTCAAAAAATATTATCATTAAGGAATTCTTCAATTGAGTAATAGCATTTGTTTGATGATAGTTTATTGAGAATACTTTTAAATCTAATTACTGTTGTATTTTTTATTTCATTGGGAATCTTATTATAAATTCTAGGGGCATTACCAAACAAACTTTTGTACATAAGTGCTGTTTTACATTTTACTTGGCTTAGTTTATTAACATATGGGGTGCGTAAGGGAACATTCCTGCCTGAGCTCAATTTTGGAAATAAGTGAGGATTTTGTTTTACAAATACAGCTGTTTCCAGTATATACATGGAGGGCAATGTTAATATTTTTAGTGATTTGAAGTGTGCAATACAGCTGTCTGTGGTCTTCAGACCACACATTGACCTTAAACATCTTTTTTGCATTCTAAACACAAGCTCTCTATCTGTAGACTGCCCCCAAAATATAATGCCATAGCGTAATACCGAGGCAACGAATCCATGGTATGCTGCAAGAAGAGCCTGAAGGTTTACTTTTTTTGAAAGTTGGAAAAGCGCGTATGCGGATTTACTTAACCTTTTACATAACTCCTCAACATGAGGCTTCCAGCTGAGGACGTCGTCAATGACTATACCCAAGAACTTGGTTTTATTTGCTTGCTCGATACAACGGTTTTCATACGCGATTTTAATATTGTCTTGATGACGACGCTGATGAAAGTGCATAACCTTTGTTTTGTTTAAGTTAATTACTAAATTATTTTTGTTAAGCCAATTGATGATATCATATAAGCATTTATTGATCTCATTTTCATAGTCGAGTTCATTTTTACATTTTATGATGACTGTACTGTCGTCTGCAAATAGGACCATTTTGTGTGATGTAGTTTTCGGTAAATCATTAATATATATCAGAAAAAGTAACGGCCCAAGAACGCTGCCCTGAGGGACGCCATATTTAATATGTCTTCGTTTTGATAAATATGTCGTTTCAAGCTTACTTCTCGGACATAGCCTACTGATCTCCGTATACTGAATTCTGTCGCTGAGGTACGATTTCAAAAGTTGAAGGACGTTTCCTCGGACACCATAACTGTGTAATTTATTTAACAAGATATTGTGATCTACATAATCAAAGGCTTTAGTCATATCCGTGTATATTGCGCAAACTGGATTTCTTTTATCTACTGATGTTACAATATCGTCTAGGAAGTCAAATACCGCCATGTTTACTGTAGTGTTTTTCCGAAATCCCTTCTGCTCGTCACAGAATAAGTGGTATTTATCAAAATAGTCATACAGGGAGTTATATATAACTTTCTCTATAATCTTTGAGAGTATAGGTATCTTAGCAATTGGCCTATAATGAGTAGTATGAGTGTTCTATGTTCATATAGGTTATAGGTATTATTATTTTTGTACAACCCTGGAATCAAATTCGGGATAGATACTTTACATAGTACCTAGTACACTTACGATGCAACCACATGACCAAAGGTAGTTAGAATAGATATTATGTATGACATCTATGTTCAAATACAATTTACAATTCAGTAAACTGTCTAGTAATTCGTTATTTACTGTCTGATAATAGTTAAGTAATTCCATTAATAACTACTTGTATTACTTATATTTTTATACACGCATAAAAAACTTGTACCTAATTACTGCTACGGTCATAGAAATGTCCATCTAAAATACATGAAAGAAAGAAAAACATAAACTTACATGTGCGTTCTTGTTACCCATGTCTCCGTAGATGGCAGCGCGCACGGGCCAGTCCTCACCTGCAGGCGGCGTGTGGAACGAGAACTCCTCCGACCAGCCGTACACAGAGCCCGCGTGGTACACTGCGCACCAAACAGGTGGAAACAATCAGTCAATAATTTAAACATAAAAAGATATTCAGTATTAATAAGAAAATTACTTTCGCAATTTTTATATTTATATAAAACTACTAGCTGTATCCGCGACTTCGTTCGCGTGGAATAGTGATTTACTGCGCATACCCCGTAGGTGATAGCGTGATAATATGCGGTCCAGGTATTAAGATTGATACCAATGTCAATCTTAAAACCCCTTTTTTGATTTAACGGTCATACCTCATTTGTTGTTGACATTGGATCAAAAAATGAGTGACTTCTATAATGTATCGAGCGGATGAACATCCTGTAGATATTGTCATTTTATTAAACTAGATATGTACATATTTAATTATTAGTAGTAAGTCATTTAAGTTCATGAAAACGTTTTTAAATCACTGTTATAAGATTGCAAATTGATTGGAAAACCGATATTGGGCAAAATACTATTACAATTACTGGCAATGGTCGAGTTTAGTAAGGGATAATGTCTACTAGAGGATCTATACTTTTACACAATCCACTTACATGTAGATCTAGCAAAACCGAAAACGTTACCCCAGCAAAATCTTGAATAACTTTGCAACCGATGAAAGAACAAATACAAAACAAGGCACAACACTAGACAACTAATTTTATAGCTAGTAATTATTTAAATATTCCCATTAGAAAGAAAAAGGCTGGCTGGGGCAACGTTACCCCAGCAGGAAATGTTTTTGTGAAATAATTAAAAAACCATAAGCACAACAAATTTAAAAATGTGTGCAATAATTACAGAAGCCCCAAAACTAATTATCTATAAGATTCAAATGACCATTTTCGACAACATCTGGCCTGGGTAACGCACACGAATCTACATGAAAGTGGATTGCATTTCGAAGAATCCACAGCAGTAAATCCTATAGCATATTTTGTTCACTATTGTACCATAGTTACTAAACAATCGCTATCTAGTGCTGAGTAGAATTCAGTGCTCACCATATCTTGTGTTAAACTTAAGGTCCTTCAAAGTGACGGTGTGTATGTACTGGCTGCGCATGAGCTTGCCTCCGTCTATGAACAGTTTGCTAGAGCCAATCGCCTCCTTGTCCATGATACCCACTCCGTACTGCACGCGCGACTCCTGCGTGTCGTTGAACGTCGACCATGTTACCACAATGTCATTTACTTTTTCTAAAACATAATAATTGGAATTAATGATTGATTTTAAGCACCAATTACAACATGTTTGAGGTATTTTTTTCTTGCATAAGTTGTAACATGTTATAAAGATACAATTAAGAATAGATGATGAGAGGTGATCAGGTGAGCCTATTGCCATATACCGGGCATAATTCCAGTCTCTGTGTTACTGCTGAGATTGTTTTAAAAACCGAGTAATACATTGCCCAACCCGGGAATCGAACCCAAGACCCCTTGCCCAGCAGTCGCATTTGCGAACAGTCAGCCAATGAGGCCTATCACTGTCTGTTTTTATAATGCTTGTTTGTCATTAATTGCAAACTAAATGAGTCACATATTTATTGATGCCACATTTTCCTTATAACTGGGTGGTGTCCATCAAGTTCTTCCTGTTAAGGTTTTCTTCTGCCTTTAACTTTTCAAATATAGATTCATTCAGATCAAGTTCTCATTTAGGCAGACATTTTTTTACATTAAAATTAGGGCCTATCAATTAATTTAACAATATAATATTAAGTTATACTTATATTATGTACTTACTTATCTAATTTAATTAGACTGTTATTAGAACATTTAATTTTATAACTAACAAAACAATTTTATCAAAGAGTTGTTATCAATTGTTTAATACAAACACACACAAGTACAGAGCTATTTTATGAAACATTAGGAATTACTTTATCATGTTATTTTCAGTTAAATCATAAACAAGTCACGACTAATACACAACTTTAGAATTTATATCAATGACATAAAGTTCAAATTAATAATTACCACTATTAATATAGTTGGCCTACATAAATGTTGATTGTAACTGACTTTTTTAAAATCAGTTTATCATCTTTTTCAAAATAACAATTCAACTTTTGCAATTAATTATTTAGCAAGAAGGTTTAATGTAAAATGCTTGCAGAGATTAGAAATAAACCAACAATGGTAATTTTAATTTCCACAATATTTTTTAACATGTCTTAACTCTGTAATTTGACTTGAAAGAGGTTTTAGTTTTATTTAATTTATTAATTACAATTAAGTATTTTTATAGACAACAACAAACCCGAATTGAAGTTTCATATTTAATTAATTTAATTAAAAAGTAATATATTTTACATAATTGTTTCTTATTTACAAATAATTGAAAAGTTACTTGGTTTAATATTATTTTTTTAGTACAATCATAATGGGCAAAGGAATAGGTAGGAAGTACATATAAAACTGTAATAAAATTAGTTAGATAGCCGGTAAATACTCGTAATGGATCTAATGAAACAAAAACAAATAATTGAAAATGGTACGATGTTTGTAATGATTATTATGTTGCTATAAGTGTCACCGTTACTGAAATCGGTGAGGACTTTAAAAGTTGAGTAAACTTGACTTACCTCCAAAGGCAATATGTATCTGTTCTGGTTGGCAGTGAGAACATACATAGGTAGGTCCTGCCTCTCGAATTTGCAACTTTCTGGCCCAACATATCCCCAATAACATGGAAATTATTATTATCTTCATATTCGATACTTTAAATATAAAACAGTAGATATTTCCTTTAACATATACGACAGATATTTTACAATAACATAGGGATACTGTGATAAACTGTTCTTCGCTTCGAAACGTATAATTAATTACTAATTGGCCTTTGTTTGGTTTCAAATTCTATAAACATCGCCTCGCTCATAGCAATCAGTCGTAAATGTCACTTTTGATTAGCATTCCGAAACTTGGAATATGTTGCATTGTTTATGACAAATTATTTCAAATATTGTACAAAAATTACAGTTAAACTGATTATCCAAAGTGCATATTTATAAAAAATATTTACTTAACATGAAATATTTTGTATTAGTAATTTCAAAGATATTCATAATATTTAATATAAGGTTGTATTTTATACTTTGTAACTATAATATGTACAAGATTAAGGTTTCAAAACGCAACATCACAACAGACAATAAGACAGCAACTATTACTGTGGCTTGGAGCGGTAGACAAAAACCTTAATGTTTCTTTTTTTTCCCAGTATTATGTAAGCGAATCAATGTTCACATGATTATCATATTTATAATTAATTCTATATTCTGTCCGTAATATCTTTGACAATTAATATTTTTAGGTAAATAGTAAATATCGATAATTGATTTTTTTTAACGGTTGGCAATACGGACGCGGAGCGCGCGAAATTTAAAGATTTTGAACAATTTTGAAGGTGTGAAGTACCTATAGGGGTTGACGGAAGTGTAAGCAGAGAAGAGTAAAATACAGTTGTGACTTGAAGCCTTTATGTTTTCTTTTCGATTTATTAACAACTAGCTTCTGCCCGCGACTTCGTACGCGCAATCCCGATATTTCCCGTACCCGTTCTTGATTTTCGGTTAAAAGTAAAAAATAAGTATTGGGTAAAAAGTATCCTATGTCCGTCTCCTGGTTTTAAGCTACATCCTCACCAATTTTCATCCAAATCGATATAGCCGTTCTTGAGTTATAAATAGTATAACTAACACGACTTTCTTTTATATATATAGATTAAAATCATAAAATTAGTTACCCATAGTATATTATAAATATAAGTAATGCTTCTGATTACATTTTTGAAGATGACGGTCGTTGTATTTTTCTTTATAAAAACTAGTGATTAAGTTTTGAAAATCCGAAATGGGTGTCAGAGAAGGGCGGTGTTTATTGTATAATTGTATATTATTATGAAAATTTCCATCCAAAGAACCTTCAACCTTTTTGGCAGACTTGGTCTTTGCAGCGAATTTTGTTTTGTAATTGTAAGGTAAATTGTACATGCATGCTTAGCTGTAGCGCTATTACAGATTACTTAATATTTACTGCGCTATTAAGTCCTTAGGTACCTTATCTAAGGTTGATTATTTATTAGTTTCGGTGGTGCACCTTAAGGAAGGATTTCAAAATACTGTGGCATTTGTGGTGTTTATGAAACCGGAGAGAGATGTCGCAGGCTGTTCACAGGGATTGTTCTTGTTCCTGGGTTCGCTCCTGCGAAATGGAACATCGTTTACAACTTGATGCTACGCACCGCATTATTAGGTGTTCAATATCAATAACATATTATTGTTTAACTCAAAACCTCATTTGTTGGACTGCCATGCGACCACTCGATGAATCCAACAACGAAAACAATAAATAAATCAAAATTAGAAAATAACACAAAATGATAATTAGATAAAACTTTATTCAGCTGTTTATTTAGGTAGTACTAATATAGTGATTTTTACAAATTAATTACTACTACGTATTAGATATCGTAAGGCTCGTGAAGATTTTTGACCAGCCACAGAGAATCTATGACTTGACCGTTTTGTTCCACATTGACCTGTTAAAATAAAAACGATAATGAATCGTAGCTCAAACCTTTTTCTACTTATTTATTCAAATATTTTAGTGTTGAACACTGTTTTAAATGATATCCCCAAACAACAAGCAATGTTTTCGATTAGGTACATAAGCCATCAGTTAATTGCAATTTATTATACCCCATGATAGGATAAAACGGTAAACTAACACGACACAGAAGAGATCCGAGAGAAGTAAGAAAAAAGGTAAAATAAAAGAATAATCCACCTGTTCCATGTAGACGTGAGTCTTATTGTGTGCTTCGAACCTCGTGTACCCGTAGGCACTGCTTCTGAAGGCGGACCATGGAGCAGGATGTTCTGCAAGCCCGAATAGATAAAACACCATTACATTTTGATATTGATGTAAGAAAACAAAAGCAATACCTAGCTATTATTGATACATTAATATCCTAGCGACTCTACACTTACGTTTGAAATGGGAATGCCCCTCTTTACAGCCAGCCGATCCCGTTATAATGTGCACTGGAGCTCTGGAAGTAAGTATTAACAATGTCATAAAAATATTAAACACGTAAGACATTTTGTGAAACTACATTTAGAAACAGTATGAAGTCTATTAGACGAATTACCCAGGATTGACGTAGGGATATTTAGTGGAACCGTTGTACACCTTGTTGTCGTACAGGGGGAATGACCTCTCGTACAAATGATCGTGTGCCCAAATCACCAGGTCCACACCGTAGTCCTTCAGTAGAGGTTCCAAAGCTATAACAGAGAAAATAAATTATTCAAAGGTTTCCAAACTTAAAGGTCATTCTTGTTGTAAGACGACCGTTTGAATTTAATGTTTTTTTTTTATTTATGGAATAGGAGGCAAACGAGCAGACGGATCACCTGATAGTAAGCGATCAGCGGCGCCCATGGACACCCGCGACACCAGAGGAGTCACAGGTGCGTTGCAGGCTTTTTAAAAAGGAATACGCTCTTTTCTTAAAGGTTTGGAGGTCGTATCGGTTCGGAAATACCGCCGACGACAGATCATTCCACAGTTTTGCTGCGCGAGGCAGGAAGCTACGTGAGAACCGCACAGTTGTGGCCTGCCAACCATCTATATGATGGGGATGCATATGCATATGAGGGTCAATGGCGAATAGATGCGGCAGGTATCAGGTCAAACAATTCTTCAAAGCACTCCCCGTGGTATAAGCGATAGAAAATGCATAATGAAGCTACATCTCTACGCATTGCCAAAGTGTCGAGCCGGTTTGAAACATCCCGACATCCAACAATCCGAACGGCACGCCGCTGAACGCGGTCCAGAGGAAGAAGCTGGTACTGGGGTGCCCCCGCCCAAAGATGAGAGTAGTATTCCATATGGGACCGAACCCGTTTGTTTGTTAACCCTTTAACCGCCAAGATTCTGAACTTTCAACTTACCTCCAGCGCCACGTCACTTTAGGTATAAGTTGGAACAGTGTTGGGAACACTTAATATCGATGCATATATTCTTTATTAATTAAAATCAATGTTTTATTTACCTACTTAATAAATAATCTAAAAATTTTCAATCTTCAAACGAAGTATACGAAAATGTGTATTCGGGAAATGGGCACGGCGTCGTCCGTTCTCCTGCTGGCGACGGTGACGATGCTCCACGAGCATGTCGTATTAAATTTAATAATTTCATGTAAACTTCTGAGCGGATTTCCGACAGTACGGTTTCCAGCTCAAAAGGTTTTAAAGATGCAAAGTATTCATTTCGTGGATCACTTGGTCTCTGATCAAAAACTTTTGCGTCACCATCTTCTAACTTTGCATAATGGACACATTTGGTTTTGACTGTGTTGATTTATTTGAGAAATAACAAAAACCCAAAAAAGGGCTTACAACACTAGTTGCATTGAGTGATAAATGTTTAACGTGATTTTACGGTGACGGCGCTAAGGCAACTCACAATACAGCGCTATAATCTCCTTGGCCGCACGTAATATTACGATGATGGCGACCGGCGATTGTCCGCACTAGTGCGGTTCTGCGTTATGAAATTTTTATATTATTGTTATAAATATTAAATAATTTTAAACTTAAATACATTTTAATTAGTACAAATACTTGCATCAAAGTAACACTATGGTTATTTTCTAATGAAAGTATACACTTTCATTGCAAATAGTGACAGTAATATCTATAGTGCCTTGTTTGTTCTTAGACAACCTATTAAGTATTTTTCGAATTCGCCCCATCCCTAGTACTCGTAAAATTACGTGATTGGCGATACAGATAATGGAGACGGTGACCACAATTTAATTAAACCTCAAATTTCACAGTATTTATCACTCAAAACATTGAGAAATATCCATAACAATAAAGATTATACCCTACATCTTGAAATTGACACATTTTATATGGAGTTTGTGCACTATAAGAAGATTTTTAATAAAATAACGTGATTGTACGTATGTGGCGATTCGGACACAGCTTTCGAAACCGTAATATTACGTTGTCGGCGGTTAAAGGGTTAATTTAAAAAAAATATGTTAGCAGAACTCACGCCAGAGTCCGTGCAGTCCAATCCGCGTCAGTTCCATGTTGCAATCTACATCAAGACGGTCATTGCAGTACATGGGTCTGTGTCCGAACAACACTATCCATGGTCTCTTCGATCTAAAAGAAAATCAATCCATAGTTGATTCAAAACAATTGCCGGATCTAGGTACTAGATTAACATGAATTTTATCAATTGAGTATTCTCACCTGTTGTCTGGAAGGTTAGCTTTCTCTAGATCTTCCTTCAGCCAGTCATATTGGGTACTGATCAACTTGATGCCGTAATTTAGGTAGTAGTAAACTTCGGTGGAGATGGACACGAAGTGCACAGGGCCCAGGTCGAAACTATAGAAAAGACTTGAGTCTGGGCCGGGCATCGCGAAGCGCGCCGCATAGTTACTGAAATTGCTGCGGAAAAATATTGAAACCTCTTTGATGACTTTGAGTTTAAACGCGAAAAACGATTTTTTGTAGTCTCTAGTAAGTATTTCTACGTACTATTTCTCCTCATGGTTCCCGGGGCACGTCATGTATGGTACGACGGCGGCAAGCGGCTGGATCTGTCGCATGAACTCATCGCCAACCAGAGCATTTTTAGAATCCATGTCGTAGGCAAAGTCTCCTACATGTAGGATCACATCAAACTTGTTACGTTGAGCCTCGTCTTGTAGGTACGACAGAGACTGAAAAAAGGTAAAAACCAATCACCTTAAATTAATTTGCATCGTAATTAACTACTTACCTACGTACATATTTATTTTATTTAGGTACTGATAAGAAATACTCTGCGAGGAAGCCAAAAGCAGTGACTCTCACTGTTGTGTCAAAGTTAAATAAT